AGTAAACCATGGAATTTTGCCCCTCAAAAAGTCATTGAGAACCATCTTGGCTACTCCATTAACATCGGGTTCACCTCCATGTAATAATCTTCCTCCCTTTCGTGCAAGAAGCTCTAAGAATTCAATATGGTTTTTGTATCCCTTGAGAGCATATGTTCTTTCAATGTGTTGGGGTTTAGTTTTACTCAAAACTGCGGGAATATATTGTTCTGGATGTTCAACATTCTCAACTCTGACTACACCTCGCAGTAGAATATCTTGAGGTGTATCGGTAGTACTAGGAGGAACTACTCCAGGACAATCAATGAGATAAATGCGTTTCATGAGAGTAATGTACTGCCAAACTTTTGTTTCACCAGGTATTGGAGCAACTGTGCAAACCTTCTTCTTTCTCAACGTGTTAATGATTGATGATTTGCCAGTGTTTGGGTATCCAATGAATCCGACTGATATTTGTTTGCGGTCGGCATGTAGGGAAGAGAATTGACGGAGGAGTTGAATGAGGGATCCCTTTCCGAATGAATTTGTTATCGAGGCGTGGAATGCAAGAGTTGGATAATCTTTGGAGAGCGATCGCACCCAAGCGGCCTGCAGTATATTAGCATATGACATTAAATACATTGCATGTGAAATAATATTATTGTGTGCACTGGTGAAATGTATGAATCATTACTAAGAAAACCACCACAAGCCACTAGCTAAAGAGGAAGTGGACTTCAACTCAAACGAAACATTATCGAACTCTTTGCGACAGACTCCCCAAGACGGTGAGCTGCCTACTCAAGACCCGAGAGTCAAGAGCGGCGAGAATGAACTCGATCTACCAAAGTTGTAACAGACTGCCTTCCATTGTGAGGAGCACATAGTGCAGAAGATGCCTTGACTTAACGATGGAATACAAACGGGAGCAATAGATGGGTGGAAACGGTTAACATGTGGAAGGATTGTCAAACTTACAGCAACTCCAGTGGGTACAAGATCGCACTTGTTGAGTACGAATATCAAGTGCTTATGCGGTGCTTCATCCTTGATGTACTTTTCCACGGTCCGGCAGCGAGTTCCTAGAGGATCTCTAGCGTCTAAAACATGTATGACCACATCTGAGGAATCAATAACTTTGTAAAGCTCGTTCCATATGCGTTTGCTTTGACCCTTGCTAAAAATCGCCTCTCGAGCACTAGTAATGTGACCATCATCAATAGCAGCAGCTTCACCAACAGCTTCGGGATCGTTCGAAGTTCCACTCAGAAGCTTTGCTTGTTCGAGTCGATCCAGATATGTATCGTGGCTCTTAACACTATCGTCGGCAAGATCTTCCAATGAACTGACACCGAGCTTTACTCTCTTTCGTTGTGCTTTGGGACCGAAGGTATCACTGAATGGAGACGCCTCGACTGCCATCTTGGCTTGATGCTGCTTCAATCCATTTTTTCCTTGTCCGTCGCGAATCAGTGACATTGGCAATTTGTTAGTCTTTAGCAATACCGAGTAAGGATCACTCGCGCGTTCAGCCATGGCTTCTCGGAAAGAGGTCAACGCATCTTGGCCAATGACTCTTGAGTTTGTAAACCATTTTCTGTTGGGCTCAATTCGTGCGGGTTTTGTTTCCCTACTTTGGAAGGTAGCGGCTTGAGTAACTTTTCCTGCGGCATTGTGACGAGCTTTGCCTTCATTGAACATATTCAAGGTCTTGGCTTGCTTCGCTGTGCTGTGAATTGATTAGTTTTCAGTCCATCAACGTTTGTAATGGCGGGAACGTACCGATAGAAATTCTCGCCCTTGGTCTTAACATTTGCCATGCCATCTCCTACTTTCCCTTGCTTGACCTTTCTGGCCGCTTCTTTCTTACCGGTACCCATTTTGATGATTGATGCGCGATGCGCTGTGAAAATTTGAGGTTGTGAAAAAAAAAGTATGAAGAAAGGAAATCGAAGCTCAGGAAAAAAAGTTTTAGAGATTTTGGGGGGTTGTGGCTGATGTGCATCACGCTAAGGTGTGGCTGGGTTAGTTAGTTTCTAAAATATATCCACTAACCAAAGATATTTTATCAACTTCGATTGTAAGGTAAGGAAGGAGTGCCTTTATCAGAATGACCTCGGAATACTGAATCCTATACTCTGACAACCTACATCTCTCTTCCGTCTGACCCATAATATACTCCTTTTGCCTGATCATTCGAATACAATGTCATCAAGTATGTCGAAGAGTTCTTTGAGCATCATTGGGCGATGTAGGCCCAGTCAATCAACCGCGGTCTCATCTCGAACTTTCTCCACCACTACTTCATGTAGCGCTATTGGACCTGAAAATCCTCGATTCATTGAAATACCCACCACTCAACAGCCAGACGCTCGGGGGCATAGAGATATTAAAGGAACTCTACCTTCCCCACGAAATCTTTTCCCCAACCGCGGCCCCGACAAGATCTCGAAAAAATATCTAGATTCTGTGACTCGTGAGCCATCGAAACCTCCAAAGAACCCAAACGATTATGTTGCGTGGAAGCATCGGCTAGCAACTCAGCGACGTGAGAGCTTGAAAGAAGCGTTGGTACATCTTCATAAGAGGAAATTGACCCAGGAGCGCATAGTTGCACACAAGAGCTACTCGAAACGAATGGCCAATGAAAAGAGACTAAAGGCTCCCCAACGAGAGGATGAAAGGCTGATGAACCCCACAATTACGGAAGCCATGTCAAAACTGCAAGTAGGCTTTGTTCCAGATCCGAATAGAGAGAGTGAACTGGCACAGAAGGCATTGAGGGTACAAATTAGGGCGGCTGAAAGGGAGGAACAGAGGAAGAACGCATTGCATACGCTGTACATGAAGGCTCGGTCATTCATCACGACGGAGGAGCAATTGAACGCTAAGATTGATGAGATCTTCACGAATCCTTTCGACAAAAATGCACCTTACAAGAGAAATATCTGGGAGGTGCACGAGAAACCACCCACTGTCCAGGATATGCTTTCAGGCGTCAACAATTCCCACAAGACTGCTGTAGGAAAATATTCGCATCCTGCTGTAATTACTGGAACCAGAATGCAGCACATCGCAGAAGAATTAACAGGTGGGAAGATGGACTAGTAGGCTTGCATCATATCAGGTTTTTCGGATGCTTCAATAATGCTTGCTTGTACAGTATCTAGACATTCAATGATTTGTTACGCTTCTTACGCCAATTGTATGTCAATTCTTCATGTTTGAAGTGCATTCATGGATTGGTGCGTTGTTGTGATCTCAATGCCTATCAATTTGTCGTTCATTATGGTGTAGGGCTTTCTTGCGTATTGCGAAAGGCCTGACAGGGTGCTTTAAAGGAGATGCATTAGATAAAATCCAATAGGGACTTCTAGATTTTTCACGGCAATCTCAATGTGTTTGTGAACGAGGAATCGCCCAATTCTCTTTTGGGAATCAAACCTCGAAGCTTAAAATTGCAATGCTTAAGATTGCTCAACAGCTTCAACAATAGAGTTTATATCACTTTTCTAAACTGTTTATCACAGTTTCATTTTCAAATATCACACTCCCGCATCTCCCGTCCAATGCTCAGACGTTCATGGATGACGTCTCATCCCCACCCGTCTTTCTTGCCGCTTAGGTGAAACTGTTCCCCAGAATCTTTCACTCATTACCGTGGCCGCACATTGATGCGATTTCAGAATACCCCCAGTGTCATCACCGCACAACCTTCATGAAATGAAATGCGGTGCCTAGCCATAAAGCCGTTACCCCACAATTTCGGAACCATCTTCGACATCCCTGTACTCGTAACGCTATACCTAAACAAACCTCTCGGTGACGTGACCATTGACGTTCGTGGTTCACTCCCCCGCGGCCAATGATTGAAAGCGCAGTCGGTATGAAGTGCCAAAGCCATTTGCGCAGATGATAGTGTCTATTGGTGTGGAGGGTGAGGTAGAATTTGCTAGTTTGTCCATCTTTGGCCCCTTGCTTGCGGCTAAATGTGCATCGATATTGGGCTGCTGAATAGCTTTCATGAGATAGTTTGCGGGAGTGACACGGCGATAACCGAGACCGAAGGGGGCACAAATCAATTATCGCGATAATCAACTTTCGAATGCATGCCGTACCTATGTTGGCCGAGAAGTCGATAATGTATCTATTTGGATTGAGTCGACGTCAGGTGTACATTTATCCAGGTTATCTCTTAGGCATAATAAGTTTCCATCATAGCAGACATCAAATTTGCTCCTCGTCGAAGAAGCAATTGTTTGACGACTAGGAATGCAGTCAAGATAATGATTTCAAATAAATCATCTAGACCAAATTTGACACTCTCGATCTTGACTATGCTTGAGTAAAAGCGTAAGGCAACAGCAATATCTACCGATATAATGAAAGTCGCAAAGTTGTGTTCACTAGGTACGCTCTGAATGACTGCGCTCTTACCTAGGTCGGGAGACAGCCCTGACTGAATAAGTCGAGAATCCCCAACATCATGCTATGCAGCTTCAGAGACTTATGTGATTTCCCCAGAGCAACCAGTCTCTTGGTGCTGGCCCTATTCTGCTAGTTGCAGAATTAATACGATACGAATATGGTACTAATGCATATCAGATATGCTGTTGGAATGATGTTGGAGATAAAACGCGTAGTCCCTGTTAACACGGTGGATTGATATACATGTGGATGGAAACTGGTTGGTGGCGTCAACGAGATGTCGATTTTATTTGTCTTGTCCTTGAGTTTCCATATAAGAGGAACAAGGAACGTTGAATACTGGGTTTTCTCTATTGTTAGGGCATTGAGCCTTCCACTTTCCATTGCTTCTCGAAATACAGGCCATCCCCTGAGAACTTCTGTGCGGAACTTCTGTGCTGAAACTTCTTGGTATTTTTCTTTAGTATTACTCCTCACAAATGTAGCTAGCCATATGAGCTATAATTCCTCGTCTCACTCAAGTTTCAAATTTTAGACAACTCTGTACTCAAAATTACATTCAAAAGAGTTTGTTTACCCAGTGTTCGAGCATTATGGCCTCAATCATTTTCGAAGAAGGCACACTGGCCCCTCATCGCCAGAGAAAGCTTTTGACTCGTATTGTTGATGGAATGGCTAAGCACCGCCCAAATTCGTTGTATGCTGAGATTCCTAAATCTCTAACTAGCTATGAAGATGGCTTCCAAAAAGTCACCTATGCCAATCTTGCTAATGTCATCAACGGATTAGCACATTGGATTTATCATACACTAGGTCCTGGAGAAAACTTTCAGACATTGGCGTACATCGGCATGAACGATATACCACATTCCAAGTCTAGAAGACTTGCTTGAGAAGATATATGAGCACTTTCCTTATCAAAAAACGTTTGCTCAGACAAGGGCAGAACCATTGGCTGTCGTACATACATCTGGAACTACCGGCTTACCGAAACCAATTATCTGAACGCATGATTTTGCAGCCAGTTGGAACGAGTGGCTAGCTATGGAGGCTCCCGAGGGTTATGCTAACCAGAGCAATCTTTAGACATCGTACGTATCCTATCCGGATAAGATTCATTGAACAAAGCGCTTACAAATCGGAATTGGAACCAGGCTCTTTAACACGCTTCCCCCATTTCATGTGAGTTTTGTCATTTCATTGGGAGCTGGATTACTTCGATGTTGATGATTATTTTTTTCCCTTACCATGAATGTTCCTAGAACGCTGCAAAGTTGCAATTGCCACTTTTTTATCATATGATTTTTCCTTTACTTTATATGCAGTAACGTTCTGCAAAGAGAATGTCCCAGAGAAAATGCAGCTGATCAATGTGGACTGATTTTTCCCGTCAGTATGTGAGTACTTTGCTGACAGTCACAGGGGGGTGGTCTTTTCGCCTCATTATTAGGTGCACTTCACAACCAGAGCTTGGTAATATACCCTCTAGTTGGTGTTCCTCCATTCGCAAAGCTTGTGGTGGATGGATTGCGGTATACCAAAGCTGACTGTGTTCTTCTTGCACCGCCGTTCGTTGAAGAGGTCGGAAAGAATTACGAGCTACTCAATTTCCTTGCGAAAAGCGTGGATTATTTAATGTACGCAGGTGGTGATGTGTCGCAAGTTGCTGGAGATAAGATCTCAGAGCGCGTAAAGCTCTTCATGGTTATAGGCTCTACTGAGAGTGGAGTGATTCCGAATATACGACCTGCAAGGCAATGGCCAACGAAAGACTGGAAATATTTTTATTTCAACCCTCATGCAGGCATTGATTTTAGACACCAATCCGACAATCAATACGAAGCTGTGATTATTCGAGATCCAGTACTCGAGAAGAGGCAGCCAGTGTTTTCTGTGTTTCCTGAATTAGATGAATGGGGTACGCACGATTTATATAGTCCCCATCCGTCAATTCCTGATATTTGGGCTTACTCTGGCCGAAGTGATGATATCATAGTCCTCCTGACAGGAGAGAAGACCAATCCTACCACTATGGAACAGACCATCTCGCACCATCCTGAAGTCCAAGCAGCATTAGTTGCGGGTACAGCTCGTTTTCAGACAGCGTTGCTTATTGAATTAGTGCCTTCGCAAAATGCCAAAAAACTTTCCACGGTAGAAAGAGCCCATGCTATTGAGAGAATCTGGTCCAAGATTGAAGAGGCCAATCGGGATTGCCCGCAGCACGCCAAAGTTACGAAAACTCATATATTGTTTACGACCCCGGAAAAGCCAATGGAAAGACTGGCAAGGGGACCATCCAAAGAAAGCCAACTTTAGATTTTTATTCTGAGGAACTAGGTAAATTGTACGCAGATGCCGATAAAATGTCGACTTCGGCACCAGTAGACATCTCTCTTCCACAGGACGGGGTCGACCTGACCGATAGCAACTCGATTGCTCTGTTCATTCACAATATCATCGCACAGCTCACAGGCAACGAAAATTTCCAAGACGGTGATGATCTATTTGCCCATGGTATGATGGAGTCTTTGCAAGCACTCCGTTTGACGCGAGTATTGAAACAGACTTTCGGATTCCCGGATTTCGATATCAGTACTGTGTACTCCAGTCCATCAGTCAACTCGCTCACAGATGCAACCGTCTAACTATTCTCATCGCATAGAACAAAGAATTATCCAGCGAAAAATCGAGACAACATACAATAAGCCAGGTTCTTCATGAATACAAATTGTGTATTGATGAATTCAAAACTCGACGTGTTTCACCCCTCGAAAGATTCGACGCTCTGAACAGCGGGTTGTTGCCCTTACCGGTTCCACCGGTTCGATTGGGTGTTATATTCTGCAAACTCTTCTGCACTCAGAGTCTGTATCGCATGTGTTCTGTTTGAATAGAACTGATTTGCAGTTCCTTCAAGTTGGAAGGAGTAAGGGGCATGGTCTTGAAACAGAATTTCCCACAGATCGTGTTACATTCCTAGCAGTTGATCTCTCTAAGAAGAACTTGGGTCTTGACTTCAAGATCTACAAAGAGTCGCAAGAATCAGTGACTGACATAATTCATAACGCTTGGACTGTCAATTTCAATCTACCACTTACAGCCTTTCGGCCAAATATCGAAGGTGTCATCAACCCTGCATCTTTCGCTGTTTCTGCAGCTCAATTACCATCTTTGATGTTTCTTTCATCTGTGAGCTCTATCGCGCGGTTTCAAAGACTGCCGACCACTCCCGAATCCATCATTGACGATGTTTCGGCGTCGCTTGCCATGGGTTACGCTGAGAGTAAATATATCACAGAGCATTTGCTTGACTACACGGCCAAAAAATATCCAGCACTTTTGATACAGATAGCAAGGATCGGGCAAGTGGCGGGGCCCGTCAGCACACGTGGTTCGTGGAACAGGCAAGAGTGGCTCCCTCGTCTGGTCCTGACTTCAGTGCAATTGGGCATCATTCCCGAATCTCTTGATGCAACGAAAGAAGCTGAAGTCGATTGGATACCACTTGATATACTTGCCAGCGTGCTTGTAGAATCTTGTCTGTGTGACTCTGACTCTAGCTCTACCTCTGGCTCTGATTCTGGCTCTGGCTCTGGCTCTGGCTCTGTTGAAGATGCTGGTGCAAAAGTCTTTCATCCTACAAATCCAGTGCTCACATTTTGGAAATCATTGATCTCTGCAATTGAAAGAAGCCAGGACAAATCTATCAAGCCGATCCCATTCACTTTATGGATTGAGCAAGTCAAAAGAGAAGCGGAAAAACCAGCCGATGCGACTAAGCTTGAAGACCAATTGGTTGATATTCCAGCTTTGAAGGTGATGCCATTCTATGAAGGTTTGGCCAAAGGAAAGGGAGCGCCGCGTTTAGACAATGATAGAGCAATGAAATGAGTAGGCAGCTGAGAGAATTGGTAGGAATTAAGCCAGAATGGATGGAAGAATGGGTCAAAAGTTGGCTGGAAGCACGTGTAGGTAAGTAGTGAACCATCTGGGAAGAATTGGTGGCCCCTGAATGCGGAATACATGTATGTAAGGTTTATTGGCTAGGCTGTGAGTCTTTAGTGAGATTTCAAAAGTATACGATTGTGCAGAAAAAACATACTTTGGCGATCCGAATAAACGATGCTTGCATAATGTATTACTATAGATTGGCACCACCGTTGGGTACTTAGCGTACAAATATGCTCCCTATAGACTGCAATTGGTTGATTCTCTCATCGTAAGGTTTGAAGTGACTGCCCAGGTGCTTTTGGGTACCAATAAATGTGTGCACTGAAAATTGAGGTTGTCAACTCAGAGGCAAGAGTGGCTTATATCCCCGTAATCGCAACTATAAGGAGCAATAATTCCAAGTAACAGTTAAGAAAATAAGATTCAATGGAAGAGGCTTACCTAAGAAGCTCCCTCTTAGATATTGGGGACAACGTCTAATTGTCTTTTCCAAAGGTCGTACTGAAGTTGACCATTTGGGATCAGATTGAAGTTACTTAGGTAATGACATACTGCGTGCGAGTAGGTTGGAATTCATGAGTCAATTGTTAGCCAGAGGCACGTGAGAATTTAAGTGGCTTCATGGGTCTGATTGGTCTGATTGGTCTCGTGTATCAAAATGCTTATCTAAGTAGCATTAAATAAGTTGGCCGACGCTCGCTCCATTTGCATCTCCATTTGCATCTCTATATCCCTCCATCTCCATCGCCATCATCATCGCCGTCTCTACATCTCTTCATACGAACGCGGTTTCTCTGTCTTCATCGCTGTATCCTTCCATTGCACAGCATCGACTACGAATATACAAGCATTTTCTCAGAAAAAATCGCCACTATATCGTGTTGCGTACAAGAGTTGTATTCTAAAGTATTTACTGTTTAGAACAGCCCTGGCGGTGGTTATGTCCTTCGGCATCTACTGTTTAGAACAGCCCTGGCAGTGGTTACGTCCTTCAGCATCTGCTGTTTAGAACAACCCTGGCGGTGGTTACGTCCTTCGGTACCTGCTGTTTAGAACAACCCTGACGGTGGTTATGTCCTTCAGTATCTACTATTTAGAGCAATTCCAACACAATTTAAATTAATATAGTAGCCTTTATCGATCACTTTTGTGCCTCAATTGTTCGAAGAGTCAAGGCTGCTCTATAGCCTGGGTGGGTGGGAATCACACGTAGAGTGTGGGCTAGCATTCTTTTAATGTAATCAGTCTTCACTATGTCTTATTGCTAATTTAATCATAGAGGTCAACAATGTCGGTCCCGATTGAGAAGCTCCAGCTAGAAAAGCTCCTTGACGAGAGAGTATTTGTAAAATGGATCGATCAATCAGGCACAACTTTGACGCTAGGCTCTTGCTTGTATGGTAACAAGCAGAATCCCAAGTTTTTTATGGCTGCATACCTGGATATAGAAGGTCATGTTCATATTCACTTCAAGCTTCAAGTATCCATCAAGCTCGCTGGCAAGAAGCAACAAATGGATATGCTGTTGGTTGTTCCTCCAGACGCCGACTTTGCAAATGCCTCTACACCTCGTCCGATATCGAGTATTGATGATTTATCTCACGACGCTTCTGCCATTCACGAAGCTGGCTTAAGCGATTCACAACATGTCTTCCTCATAAAATTCAGACTGACTACGAAGGGATTTGTCATTGCGAAGAAGAAGACTGCTCCGATCATTAGGCCGAGCACTACAACTGCAGAAAAGCTGGTTCATAGCCTTGAATCTTTGTCCAATACATCCATCTTCAGCGTATACATCAGGCCAAGCACTTACGCGGAAGTGAATCTGCAAAAACTTCGCACGCATCTAGTCAACACTTGTGCTACTATTGATACATGGAAACCCAGCACAAAGGAGATGTACATTCAGCAGGGGGCTATGTTGGTGGAATGGAATAGATTCTTATCTGAGGATCGACAACACGTACTACCGCCACCATATACTCTAGAGTCCCCGGAAGTGCAGGTCCCTCGGTCACCAGTAATTTTCGAGAAGGAACCACCATCAATCAATATTATCGAAGAGGCAATTGCCGAAACACCGAATCGCACTCCAGTCAGCCCCAACCTTCCGCCGGTGCTGCATGGCATTTTCTCTCCTAGCGTCGAAGATTCTTTGAATGACAGAATGAGCTCTGATGATATCGAAAAGGACTTGAGATGTGCGGAAGAGGATTCGAGGTATATCGAAATGGACTTTGATGTGGATTCAGATGAGGAACGTCTCGCTAACTTGAAGTCTCGAGAACTAAGTCAGCAACTCAATCAAGATTTAGAAGTTTCAAAGGTACTTGAGTCAAAGTTTGTTGGGTGGATACAAGCAGCAATGCGAATAAATTCGAATGTGTACGCACACAAACGTTTAACCACCAAACTGTCAATTCTAGGTAACTGCGTTCGTACGTCTAATGCTGGTGTATTTGACGCTACTATACCCTGGTGCTCTGCGCTACTTTTCTATGACCCTTTCGATTCTGACAATTCTCCTGTGTTATGGGAGGAGAGGAATTCATGGATGATTTCAGATATGGCCAAACTGATTAGATGGGCTAATGAGTTTCACTATGGCGCCGAGATGAATCCCTTGTTGGTAACTGATTTTATGAAGCTAGGCAATATTGCTCGTACTGTTGCTCTACACTCCGGATATAATAAGGACGAGTACGGCCTCCAGAAAAGTGCTTGTGTTGCTCATGTTTTTATGGAATTTACCAAGCCGGCGACTGATATTAGTGGAGAGAACAGCAAGTCTCTTTCTCGAAAAAGCTCAGAAGCTGGTAGCAATACATCTAAGCGAGTAAAGATATAGATTTGTACAATATGAGCTTACCAAAAACATGTATAGTATTGGTCAATGATATGAATAGCGAGGAAGCAGCAAGACACATCCATCTTGAATATGTATATAATGTAGAATATGCAGGATACAACACTAGTATATCTTTTGAAATGCAAACGTAGTACCGTGGGGTTTGAGTGTATACTGATAAGTACCTACCTAGGTGTTCCATGTAAAAAAAATAAGAAAGGTTTGTTCTACTCGTACTAATTAATATCATTGATCGTACGAGTTAGCCAAAATCGGAGGCTGACAAAAAACCGTTGCTTACCTAGTAGGTATCTCGTATCTTACGACTTAGACCAAATACTAGTTGATTCCTCTAGCGAACCCTTTACGATGTTGTGAAGTATCTAAACAACAACAACGACAATAATGTCTATCTACAATGAACAAATCTATCTGAAACAAGGGAAGAAAGGGGAAGACAAGTCTCGAGATAATAGGTAATATTATACATGTAGGTATCATATAAACAGCGAAGGGTTCACAAATGAGCATGAGAATATGGAAGCGGAAAAAACAAACTACCTAGGTACCCAAGATACGATACTAGCAAAATTAATACCATATTCCTTTATAATTAGAAAAGGGATCTAGCTAATAACAATGTGAAAGGTTCCACTATTGTCACTTGTAACTAGGTAATCTATCATTATCATTATAAATATACGCAGTGGCGCTCAACAAGGGTATTGTGAACAGTTAGAAAGTAGTTCATCCAATGAAATCCGCATTCATGGAGCTTTCGGATGAAAGAAGAGACGAGACGCCCTCACTTCTAATAAACTTCTTACTTGCAACTTCTTTCCGACCACATTCACCAACCCATCAATCTTGTATATACCAACCGTTCAGTCATGTACTCAAAGTGATATTCTTGAGAGATTCACTCCCAATCCAGCATTCAATCTATCATACCCGTACCATCAAACAACTCAACAGCAATCTAATATCAAAGTATCGGAGAAATTGAGGCCCTCATTCTAATCAACCTTGTCAGCGCGATTAAAAACACGCAATTGCCGCCCGCATCCTCAGCCCAGCCTACCGATATCTACCTACAAGTAAAAAAAGGTCATCAAATGTCAGCTTAGACGTCGATGAGGTGACCAATCTTTCACAAGAGCTCTGGTATTGCGCCTGGAAGACACATTACGTTCCATTGCTTCTATTGTTCCACGATGCTCCCTGTCCGCAGACTGTCGAGGCGACAGGATGGCCCGCCTAGCAATGGTCTTTCATCCACCACAGAACCTAATAATTCCTCTACAGAGACAACGGCCACTTCATCCGGGCAGCCTCAATCTGATGCTAGTACTAGGCCAACTTATATTATTGTATGTGCCTCGCATATATAACTTATGAACCAATTAAATTTCTAAGATGTCTGCTAATAATGATCTTTACAGGCAATCACAATAACTATAGTTGGGCTTATAGTGTTGCTCCTTGCACTTTACATCATACGTCGAACCCGTATCAAGCACAAGAATCCAAAATACATACCGACGGTATTTTTGAAAAAGGCTTGGAAAGGTTGGGACCCAGAAGCTCATCGATATCGTCTGCCAGACCAGAATGATCCCCATGAATACACAGGAGCCGCCGGCGTATCTGGTGTCGGCAGAAGTTTATCGAGTCGTCCACCTCCATCGTTCAATGCTGCCGCTCGAACCACCGTCGAAAATGCCACAAACAACGACGCGACAGGAGTCGATAGGAATACTTCAGTCCGCTCGGTAATGACGCTACCAGCTTACAATATGACACCGGGACAGAATGAGCAGGTATTGGGAAGAGAGGGTGACCGAGGGGGCATTGACGTTGTGTTAGAATTCCCAGAAACTATCGACGAAGAAGAGTCACAGCGAGAGGCAGAGATGGAGGCTTTATACCAGGTTCGACTTGCGAGACGACGTGAGAACGAAGAACGAGAAGAGCGAAGACGATTAAGGAGAGAGGCTAGAGAACGAGGCGATCATGTTGCATTGAGAGAACTTCAATCTCGACCTGCAAATACCAGTACTGGACCAACCGTCGAAGAGCTCAGAGCAGAACATGACAGAATTAAGAAAGAACGTCAACGTGCTGTTTCATCAGTCGCATATGGTGATCTGGGGGTTGCGAGACATGACGGTACACGATTACGCGCAAATAGCGATGAGAGCGAACGACAAGGATTACTTGGCGATGCAGCAAGTATGGCCGCGAGTAGTCGTTATCATCGGAGAGATCGAAGCGCAAGTTCAGTGTTAAGTATTGACACAGTGAACTCGGACTTACCTTCTCCGGGATTTACCAGGTCTCGCGCTGATTCCCGACCGGATAGCCCGCTTCGTCGATCTATAGGCGCTGGGGACTCGAATGATAATCATGAAGATAGGGCTGGAAGCAGTCCCGAGATGATAGATCATGATGATGTCCCATTGAGCAGTCCTCCTGGATATGAAAATGTATCGTTAGACACACCACACGCGGAAGCTTCAGGTCTACCACATCACATGACGGAGCCCCCTCCTGATTATACCAGTCCAATATATGGGAGAGGAGAGGGGCCAAGTTTAGAAAGCACGGGGTCTCGAAGATCACAGAATCTAGACGGAGTAATGACGGAGAGAAGGACAAGCACCCACAGTACAAATTCGGGCCTTTACCCTCGGGACGAGAGACGTACATCTACAAGATCAAGTCGAGGTGTTGGTGGCATTCCGCAATTACCCAGTTTACGATTAGGATCTCTGCCCTCTATTCACGTCGATCCAGGCAGCCCGATGACAATGGGAACTACAGAGGAGGAAGGTCATAGCCCACATAGCCAACCCCACTTCGGTTAAGCTCTTTGAAAAAACAGTCAAGATCTTTGACACGATTAATGAATCTTGAATAATCAGGTTGAGCCTTCGAATTTTTGATACACGTATAATCTTTTTCCAACGCAAATTTTGCCTTTTCTGCATCAAGCAATCCCTACTTTTCTATACCCGTTTTCGTAATAATTGTTATATACTTCTGAATTTGAGCATGGCGCTTTTGGGGGGGTGTTTGGAGCTGGATACTTGCTTTATTGATCCATCTCCAGCTTGAGCCTTTGTTTGGTGTTGAATGCAATTTAATGCAAGACTTCTTGTATATAAAAGCAAGCAAGTGGCGAACAAGTGGAATGGTGTGAACGGAGTAATTTTAATTGGAGTGGGGGAGTTTATCAATGGGCTGGATTGGAAATTTTTCCAGATATTGGATAGGGTGGGATCGATGGGAAAGACGGAAGAGTAGGTATGACTTGGTCACAGATTACTATACTCGGCTGTTGAAGATTCACTCGATCGGTTGGTTCTAGTGTCAATATATATATGTTGTTGATTCTTTGATTGGGTTATCTTTCCTATCTCATCTCTGTATCGGTCATAATGTGACATGGATGTATTTCATGTTTTTAGAGAAGATTCTTCCTAGAACAGAACGTGGCCGACTCATGGGTAGAAATTTAGCCCAGCAATCTGTCTTAAAACGCGATCAGCTGCGTTTCTCTTTTCGATATCCCGCACCTCTTTCTCTCCCCTCCGCATCTCTCCATTCTCACTCCTGTCAATAACCATGAGTTCCATCTCCTTTGGATTAGATTGACGTCTTTGTGGAAGAGCGTCATCCCTTCAAACAACTTTCTTCATGTCTTCTTGAATCTCGGTTCCAATTCTTTCCCTCCCTCTTTCTCCCTTCCCTTCATTTCACATTCTCTTCTTTCTTCTTGAAGAAAATTCCTTCTTAATCTCTTCTCTTACTCATCTTCTACTCCGCCTACAACTCTTCTTCCATTCCTTTTCATCTCCCTCTTGCCCTTCCTCTTTCTCTCGAACTATTGTCCTCGATCCCAAAGACCCCACCGACGACCTCGCTTTCTTATTTGACGACGTTATAAATCTCAATCGTCAATCACGAGGAACTCACACTCTACCGACTAGCGAAGAAGGATGGCAACCATAATTTCGCACGAGCTGCTCACTGCTGGAGATATTTATTTATCCATTTACCCAAAAATATGTATTAGTACATTGAATACTGCGTAAGAGATATCAGGTCACCAAGAGATACACAGATAGAAATAGTCAAGATGGTCTCTATCTACACTACAAAACACCATCACAAAATATACATCTCAATTCTCTCATGCTCTGATTTTCTGGCTACCAAAATAATTCGTGAATGACATGCACTTAATACGAGTCATAGTGGGACACCCATCTAATTGCTTTAATAATACAGTGATTCAGAAGCGTAAATTTCCGAAACCATTAATTACCGAAACCAGTTTACATTTCATTTTGCCGGACGAGTATGGATAAATAATGCTGGACTTTCCTATCTCAACCAACACAGCACTGCACATTGTAGATATCTATCATTGCTATGCACATATCTTCACAAACATCAAGACCCATCGGGACTCGGGAGTATTACCTCTCAATTATCGCACGTATATGGAACAATAAGACTCCCTCAAAGACCCTGCAACGTTCTCACCTCGCCTCCTTGGCCACCAGCAGGCAACACTGCGAGAAACAAATTTACCGATTTTTGCATTTTTTTTTCATTTCCCAAATTGATATCTCTGTATTCAGCGCTGTGAAAAACCGACCATCCATTTCCCTAAACATCTGCATAATAAAGCCGAAGCTACTACATACATTGCAACGAATGCAAACACCTCCTGATGCATGAAATTCCCGTAACTAGGTATCAAGCAATGCATACAATTCTCCCAACACTCCTCCGTAACTGATCTACAAACCACTTACCATTGCTCGACCCAGCGTAAACACAACAGCACAGCCTATACATGACTTCAGCTCATTCTCGTCGGCTAAGTCCCTGTCATAAATTATATCCACATTGAACCTTCCTGATTCAAAGAATCAAAGAATCCCTTTACTCGGAATTGTTCAAAGCAGCCATCATCTCCGCGTTGATTCTGGCAATCTCTGCTCTAGCAGCGGCATCCTCGGGGTCCTCATCATCTTCTGGGTTGGCTGCAACTTGGACATCAACCTTGGACGGTTCATCAGATGAAGGCGCGCTTTGGATTTGTTCAGTTTCGGCTTCAATTTCATTAGATGGTGTGCTTGGCTGCTCGGCAACATTTATTTCCGAAGATGGGGCTGCTTCGTCAACTGCGGGCTCTGAGACCTCAACTTCCTCCTTTGGCTCAGGGACAATGGGGGCTTCAACTTCCTTCTTTGGTTCTTCAGCTTCAGCAACAGCAACCTCTGTTTGAGCGACAGGGGCTTCAATTTTCTCCTCCTCAACTACTGTAGTCTCAGCAGCCTTTTCTTCGACCACTGTCTCTTCAACTACAGGTTGAACAATGGTCTCCTCAACAGTTTCAGTTGTTTCATCTGCAGCTGATGATGGAACATCTGATCCCACAGGAGCAGCCTCTACTTTTGGTGACTTTGCTTCCTTAGTTTGTTGTTTGACTTCCTGCTTGGGTAGATCTGTCGACTTCTTCTTTGGCACTGTTTTGGCACCCGGTTTGGTGACGGGGGCCGTGGACTTTGAAACAGCCGCCTTAGTTGTGGTAGGCTTGATCGCCTTCTGAATTGCTTGAGAAGCAGTCTTAGTATCACGAACCTTGGAGTGACCGAGACTGCTGGATGGTCGCTTTACAGATAGCGACCGCTTCGGTGGAGGAGATTTATCAGTCGACTTGGACGCAGAAGAAGCGGTAGGCCTCATCATACGCGACAGAAATCCATCATCGGCCAATGGTGCTGAAGCAGGCGGTAAACTCCCTGCTGAACTCTTTCTTTGTAAGGTTGAAGATGGCCCTAGCGATGGTCTAGTAGTTCCTTTCTTCACTTGCGAAGCACTTCGTGAGACTGGTGGGTGCGATGACTTTGCTGTGGTAGCGGATGACCTGGGTGCACTTCCAGCACGGCTTTGAGAACGTGGTGCAGTTTCGTTCTTGATAGCCCCAGATGCACGGCTTTGGGTTTGTCTGGCAGGTGGCGCTGAGGTAGCACCTTTCGAGCCAGAAGAAGCTGTTGGGGCAAGAAGCGAAGCTGGGAGTTGCACTGGCCTTGTAGGTGACCTAGGCTTGGGTTTGCCTAATCCACTCTGTGGAGGCGATGGCGGGTTCCTGCTCTTGACAGCCGGTCGACTAGCCGATCTTGGCTTACTTGAAGCTCGCGCGCCGCTTGAGGTGGCCAACGAAGTGCTGCTGGTCTTCTTGGCCGGTTTCTTATCGGGAGTCTTTGATGAAACCACTGGTTTTTTCTCCGGTGTTTTGCTCTTCTGCAGCTTTCCATCCTTTCCAGAACCCGTAGGTGTTGTTGGTGTCCTTGGAGCTGTTCTGGAAGATTTTGGAGGGGATGATACTCTTGGAGAAATTTTTGGTGTTGTGGATGATTTAGCTGTAGATATAGGTGCAGGGCGCGTAGCAGACTTGGTTCTTGTAGCTTTGTCTGAGACTTTTGGAGTTGCATTGGTCTTCGAAGGGCCTGTTTTCGATGTCGGGCTTTTGGTTGCTCTTGTCGCAGGAGGGCTTGTATTCAGCGCTTTTGACTCCTCCTCGGATTTCTTTGGATTCTCCTTGATCTCTGCTGGCTTCGCTAATTCCCGACCACGTTCAGGTGTTGTTTGTTTGGTAGGTTCCGGGTCCCCGATTTGTTTGCTGACTTCGAAAGCAGGAGTTTCCGCCAAGGCAGATTCGGGAATGAGTTCATCAACCATGATACTGGCCTTTCTTGCCTCGAACTCTTCTGATATTGACTTCTTTCTCTCTGCAGTTTCCTTCGGATGAGATTGTTCATCTAGACTGAAACTCGTCCTCCTTCTTGCCATACTGCCACCGCTCGCCATGTTGGGTTCACTATTGCTATCTTGCCTCTTGAGACCAAGTTGTATTGCCTGACCGGCTTGTTGTGCGCCTCGTTCAACAGTTACAAAGCTCGTTCTGACTTTCGATAGCGGCCTCGGGGGTGTTGTGCTACTTCCTGGTGAGAATACTAAATAAATATCAGTACGTAAAGCTGCCCAATGTATGACGAAGCACTTACATGTATATTCTCCTGAAGAACGACCTCTGTCTGGTGGTGATGCTGAAGTCTCCTTGTTGTTTTGTTCGAACATGGCACGAAGGTTTTTTATGTTAGACATGTTGACGGGTTTTTATAGAGCCGATGGCTCTTGAAATTGTGCTTGAAAATTAAATCGATATAACCAAGGCGGAAGGAGCTACAACCCAAGCTCCAGTATGAAGTAATTGCCACAAACTAGTTGCAGTGATCTGCTAACTATGCGGAAGAAGGAAGGTGTATCCAATTGCGTCTCCCCAAGTATTTTAAATTAGGAAGAGGTACTAGTTTTTATGAGTATTGAATCTCAGCTGGTCAAGTGGTGAATCGAATAAGGCATTGAGGGCCAGCTGTTGCTATATTACATCTGCCGTGCACTGGGACTTGTCTTGTACTTATTCAAGGATTGGATTGAATCGAGTAAGTTAAAGAAGCCACCGTACCACACGCGATGTACGGTTTCGCAGTTTGGCCGTATCGTGGTACTTATGGGTGGGTGGTTGAAAGTAAACAGACGCAAAATGCAATATTATTAGAAAAGGGTTAGGAGGTAGAAGTTAGAAGTTAGATGAACCAGTCTGTTCCCAAAATATGGAGAGAAGCAAGAAGGGGTTTTGAATGAACGGTCGTACACTCTATGTCTCGAATAAATATCACCAGGTCTTGATATGGCAGGGGTGGATATGGGACTTCTTCTTCTTTTCAATATTTCAATGGCCTGCAAATTATAATTTCGACGATGGGGGGGGAGGAAATAGGGGTGTTCTTGATAGGACTAGGATATTATTTTGTGTACAAGGGACAAAAAAGGCACAAAAAGGCACAAAGTTCATATCAAGGCTGTCTTGTGTCTATCCATTCATTTATTTAATTTAACCTTCGGACAATCGGTCATAGTATCAGAACCAGTCGTGCGCCAGTAGGAGCCAGGACGTGAATGAGGATAGTTAACGGTACTCTTTTACTCAATTAGCTTGGACCTCTGTTTGATTGGGTTTTGAAGCGAAGTGAAACATTCCATGAATGATTCGAAATGGTTCGAGAAAAGAGAATTATTGCAATATACATGGGGGCTCGGTAGGTGATGGAGGTGATGATATGGGTTGTGCATTCGTGCATTCAGTATTTGAAACTTTGAATAGACACTAAAGAGTATGAGGGAAATATATAACGATATACACCACACCGTATATACATACATCATACATACCTGCAGGTGAGGAGTACTACGTATCTGGCTGCTAACCAGGACACATCTAGATTCGGAGAAATATCTATAGAGTAGGGAGGTAGATGTGTTGGCGGGTACTCACAAGTAGGTGTAGATGTGTACTATTGATGAAGATAGACTGGGTGAAGATAGACTTGACGATATAGTCCCACCTAGTCGGATAGAGACAAGAGAGTGTAGAGAATGTCTGAAAAGGTATCTATCTATCATCTACCATCTACCATCCATGGATCTACTAGATGTTCATCTATCTACCCTAGTGTGCATCTAGCTAGACACGAGGGGGAGGGGGTTTCGGGAAAAAAGGTGTGTGTGAATAATTGAAAGGGGAATGAATCTTTGTGTGTATTTTACAGCGACAGGTGTGACAATAGACAAGACATACTTAATTCAAGTGTGTGAATAGCCGAGAGGATGATCCGAGGGTCGGGTCAAAAGATTCACTGGAGACCGATCTCGCAAGTTAGTGTCAACTTTTGGGGAATCCCACCCACTACCCACCACCACCACAATCAATTCCAAAGTTTGGTCAAAGCAAACCAAGAAGTCAACAAAGTCAAAAATCATGGCTTCCAGAACTTTGAGGATAGGTAAGAAGGAATTCAAATATGTTTATTTTTTTTTACTTTTGCATCAATTGAGATTTTGAAACAAAAACTAACGTTTCACTGGTTCATTAAGGTCTCATTCCTGGTGATGGAATTGGCAAAGAAGTCATTCCAGCAGGGAGAAGAATTCTTGAAGCCTTACCAGCTTCCCTCAAATTAAAATTTGAGTTTGTTGACTTGAAAGCTGGATTTCAAACCTTCGAAGAAACCGGGGCTGCTCTGCCAGATAAGACCGTCGAAATTCTTAAAACTGAATGTGATGGAGCTTTGTTTGGTGCGGTCAGTTCTCCTTCAAAAGCTGTCAAGGGCTATTCCTCCCCAATCGTCGCACTCCGCAAGCGTCTCGACCTTTACGCAAATGTCAGACCCGTCAAAAGTGTTATGACAGCTGCCAACCCAATTGATATGGTCATTGTGAGAGAGAACACCGAGGATCTTTATGTCAAGGAAGAGAGAACATATGATGCTGTTGATGGGAGTGGAAAGGTCGCGGAAGCAATCAAGAGAATTTCCGAGAGAGCTTCGTCCAGAATTGCTACAATGGCGGGAGACATCGCATTACGCAGGCAGAAGCTTAGAGATAGTGGAGTTGCAAGCATTCATAAGTCACCATTGGTCACTATTACACACAAATCGAATGTTCTGAGTCAAACGGATGGTCTTTTCCGATCTACTGCTAGAGAGGCATTGGCCCTCTCGAAATTCTCGAGCGTTGGTGTAGAGGAGCAAATCGTCGATTCTATGGTTTACAAACTGTTCCGTCAACCCGAGACCTACGACGTTATCGTCGCACCAAATCTTTATGGAGATATCTTGTCCGATGGAGCTGCCGCTCTCGTTGGCTCCTTAGGTCTCGTTCCAAGTGCCAATGTTGGTGAAGGATTTGCTATTGGTGAGCCATGTCATGGTAGTGCTCCTGATATCATGGGACAAAACATCGCAAACCCAATTGCCACTTTGCGAAGTGTTGCTCTTATGTTGGAGTTCCTTGAGGAGGAGGCCGCTGCCGCTAAGATCTATGCTGCTGTTGACGGCAATCTGGAGGAAGGCAAGTTGCTAAGCCCTGACCTTGGTGGCAAAGCTACGACAACAGAGGTTGTTGAGGACATTCTTAGACGCTTGTAAAATGGTTTCCATTTTCCTTTAGAGTTGTTTCTCCTCGAACGGCCTAAGGCTGTCTACTGGAAATGAAGTCCCCCTCTGAGAAGGTATTTGAAATCCTCTTCTGAGGAGGTATCTGGTTAGACAAATCCTGAACTAGGAGCTATGAGCTAAAATGATATCCCCAATCGCCTACATGATCACCGTATTACAACCACCCCTTTACGTATTCTGCCTTCCACGATGAACATGCATTCTCTTCATTTCAGTCTTCTTGACGAAAGTCTTATGCTCCTCTCCCCCGTGTCCTTGCCCACTTGCTTCGGGGTTTCCTTCTTTCCTCCTACATGTTTGCTTGGCTTGCGTTGCTACAAACTCATGGGTTTTTGGGTGACTCTTTACGTGCTTCAATTTCTTCAACCCGATTCTCGGCCAAGTGCAGCTCCAAGTCTTCCGCGAAGTTCTGCAAGGATGACGACGTATTCCTCTTGATAGAACGACTCCCTCGATTTCTTCTCGCCCGAGTGGACGACTAATGATATGGAACAGGGGGCGACCCGTTCTTGCTTGATGCGAGTATTCCCATTTTGATGCTTCAATGCTGGAGGGCTCAACGGAGGTGTCAAGGGGACAGAGCGTGGAGTAGACCTCGAGATGTTATATAGGCGCTCGGGTCGTTTTCTGTTGCCCAAAAGAAGTCGATTCTTCATAATTTTTGTACTGTTTGAGAGTGGGATGAACATATTCCACTCAGCCAGCTTGGTCTTGTATGCCGATATTCTGTGATACTGTTAGCTTTTGTTCGCATACGTCAACGATAGTCCAACTCACGAGGCGTTGAAGTCGTATTTCTTCCTCATGATTTCTTGAATTGCAGACATAGTCAAATGTTCCGAGAAGAACAGATGCTTGATTTCAGTTTTATGATGTTCGAATGTGTTCTGCATGGTTGCGGATGATATTTGATGAAGCACAATTCCTGTATCTTTGATATTCTTAGAATTTTTGTATTTATTCGAAAGAGAAAATGGGGAGATATATATTTCTTCTGCTCACCCTGCGACGAAAAACTATTGGCTCATAGTGTATCTGATAATGATGTGATATTGTTTTATTGATAGGTACAATTGGCATAGTGGGGAAGCGCGCTCAATGGTTTCTACGAGTGTCATACATGACGTGCATGAAAGCATGGCAATTGAAGATTACTGGAGTTCGTTACTGGGAACCTAGAGGGGTAACCGCCTCCACTCAGCGGTTAACATTTCTACAATTAACACACTCCAGTAAACAATGGCAACGATAAAAAAGATTCGTCCAATTGTGCAAGATGCATACTGGATAACGAACACATTCCTATGCGCTGAATTGTAAATTGGCGCTCAATTTGGAAAAGTGGGAGTTTGGTGATAGTGAATAATGAATTTTTTATGGGGTTTGTGAACACGGAGTGCTGCCCCCACGAGATAAGAACGTTGCTTGCAATCTATTCACTTCACTGGCGAAGGAATCATGCATTCCTTCAGAAAAGATCGCATCACATGTTTATAAGGTTGAACTCACCGGCACTTGTGCGGCGTAGTGGTGCTCTAGTGCCAAAATCTTCAATATAACAGTGAACCGTCCCTTCGGCATCGCGCTCTTGGGTAAAATTCCAGAGATCAGCGCGTTGTAAGCCAATATTCAGTTCTAGCTATCTCAGACAATAAAGTCGCCGGCTACTACTTCAACCACCACTTTTGGCGCCTTCGAGGTTAAATCGTGTTTTTAGTTGTACAGCTCATCACCCCATCATTCGCCCTCTGTACCGCTTTGAGATCAAAGTCATTCATCGGTCGTTGATCCGTTCATTCAGCAATTGGCAGTGATTCTTCAAACCTAGAGGTCTGTCGCTTTTCTTCAGCGGCTTCCGGATCCATGAAAATGAAACTTCAAGAGGTCGAGGAAGTTTCTTCATGAGAAATGCTTCAAGCGTTGCGCTCTAGGAAAGACTGATTGATTTGTTATGAGGCGCTTGCTATGTTTTATTAATATTTTCTATTCGACAAATCATTTCAGAGAGGGGGTTTAATTCAAAACAGGGTAAGCGCTGAGAGAGCACTAAGTTCCAGCGCTAAGGATTAATAGAGTTACCCCGCCATGCCCACCTTCTGGCATTTGATCTGAATGAATGTATTGCAAATGGAATCATTTCTCCTTCTATGCGCTTGATAATATTAAATTTCGAAGCTGAATACACAAGCGGCCGAGAGGTTCGGCCTTCTATCCATCATCGTAATCGCTCCGGTGCTCCGTTGAATTTCGATTCATCCTGGTCACTCGGTCTCCTGGCACAGCAGCCAATTGACAAGGATTGAAAACAAGCCACACCGAACCCCGTTCGGTAAATTCTGTGTTGTGGCTGGCACGAATACGATCCCCAATCATGTCATTCATGTGCCTGTTCGCATTTCAAGTATGCATGCTAAGGTTGCATGAACAGTTCGGATTTCTGCCACTTTTCGACTGGCCCAGTGTATGGTGGGGGTTCAGCCACACCATTTAAACAAGGGTTTATGAGAGTTTGTCCGTCGCTGTACAGTCGAGGGATCAACTACTTGGTACAGTGCGATTTCAGTTGTTTTGTGTTCCAGGATAATAAATAATCTGACCAATTGATCAACATATGTTACAATACGACAAACGTGGCGCGGTTGTACCTGCGCTTTGAGAATTGGGCGCAGCGTAATTCAGTGAAGAAGAGATCTGAAGTTTTGTATGATCACAAAAAGCATGACAGTCCGGTTGATATCACATGATCTTGCCGCAAATTTGGATGTCAGGAGATGCGTTGTTGCTACCATTACTATGTCTGTCTATCATCACATCTACACTATCTATCATACTATGTTTCATAAGAACGTCCCAATCCTGAATCGTTGGACGTTCAAACTCTAAGAGAACTAGCCCGTCTGGTATCTCCCCTGTTGCCCGGATCCCAACTTTTGCCTCTTCAAGATTTAAACCAATTCTGCTCGATTGCAACACCCCGATCAAAAGTTCCATCTTTCATCAAGTGGTAGGCGGTAATGATCCTTGCATTGTGTCCGTCTCCAAATGAGAGACCGAAGCAAAGTATCGTGGAACATCGTACGAAGAGACTTGGAATTGAGCTCCGGTACCATACAGCTCATTGCTCGAACCCATCACATCTTGGTCCTTGTTATCGTACTCATGACTTATTTCGGACCATGTACAATCATCTTCTGTGGGCTGTATAGTGTGTGAGGCTGTGCTCGCGGGGGCGAGATATTGAGTCGAGTATCCGTGGAATAGCGAATGAGCTTGTGTGGAGATCGGATTCGGAGTGTATAATTGGCTTTGGGAGTTACATGAATTGTCGGCAGTGAAATACTGCTGAGGACTGCTCTCTATCCCATCACTTTCGGCGTGATATCCGCCAATTTCATTTCGATAAAGATCAAATGGGACGTCGACACCAAGGGAATTGAATCCATTCTGGAGGGTCCGGATCTTGTTTTGTAATATAACGTGCGTATGATATGGATTTCGGGATAGCTGGGCTTGTTGAATAGTGTGGTGATTGACGTTCTCATGGCTCAAAAGTTGTGGATGGACTTGAGTGTTTGGGGCAGTTGTGTGTACATTGTGTGATGTTTGACGAACATTGTCGATTGGGGAATGGTCGATTGATTGAAACGATGCGTGTTGTTGCTTGACCCCATGAGTGCTGCAGTTCTAGTTAGACTAAAAGTTGTGAAGTGTGCCGAGGTCATGTAACAAATATTTGATAAGATACATACCTTGCTTGGTATCGGCAAAGATCACTTCTGTTTCCCGAGTCCTTTGGGGCCATTTCTGAGAAAATGACAACTTCAATTTGTTTGAACAGAAATCGCTACTGAGATTCTCGATTGCGAGAAGCTTTCTTCGCATTGAAAGCGCAATGTTATTGAATACAGAATTAACATCTTGTGGATTTGAGCACTACTTAATGCCATTCAACATACGATTCCGTTTTGCACTTTGCAAATGTGAAATAGTTCGCATTTTTGAAAGTGCAATCCGCAAAAAGGGCAACGCTTCAATTTGCCTACTGAATCGTCACTCGCCACGACATTCGGATTCAATGTTTCTGTGATAAATAACTCGAAGGATCTCTTGGCTAATTCAGACGGAGAATAGTTATCTAACAAACCCGTGGAGAGCAGCAAAAACTCAACCTCACACTCCGAACTTCAGAGTAAAATCAATAAACATCATGAGATTATCTGGTGATTGGTGCTCACAATCAGAACTTGGGGAAAACGGATCGCGGATGACTGCGATAATTATGATCTTCAATCCTGACAGAGAGCAAGGAAGGTAAACGAACCAATAATACACTCTTTCTTGTACGATTCGCATGCACAAGCATACACAAAAAGCTTGTGTTCTCGAAAGTGCAATTGCACTTTCGTGGATATCTAGCACTTTCTAGAATCTTCCTTCTGTGAAGTAGCGGAAAACTGCCTAACATCAGCACTGTACTAGGACGTAATACAACAAATACTTCACACCGTGGTGGCGAGGTCAAAAGGTGTCCGCTTATATCATCATCGGAAACAGGGAGGCAGCGAGACGACTTGGCGGACTGCGCAACAAACGGAACGCGTCAACAGTAACAGACAGCGATGAATGAATGACACAGGAACGATTCGCCACGCCACTCACTCGAGACGAGGCTGCGGCTCCTTTTCCCTATCTGATGTTCCTCTCAATCATTATTATTATTATTATTATGAGCGGTTTGGCCCTTTCAATATCTGAAAAATCCAGCAAAATGGAAACTCGAATCGAATCGATTCTACAACATCAAAGGCCTATACGTATCAAATGAATAAACCGCGGCAATGCCAAAGGACTGGGCAAGCATAAAGGAAGAGCTGGAGCAGCTCTATGTGACAGAAGGACAAACGTTGGAGCAAGTTAGGGAAACTTTAATATCGACTCGCGGATTTGGTGCAAGGTGAGTTGAACAACAATTCTCTCCTCCGAAGTGTCTTTTCGAATGCTAAACATTTATTTCCAGTATTCGTATGTACCGAATGATGCTTCGCGAATGGGGAATAAAAAAGTACAAATCAAATAACAAATGTGGCACCCGATGTACCCGAGATTCACAATCGAATTCCTCTGTTGAACCGGAACTTACTGAAGACGATCTGAAAGATGCCGATTTCTTTCTATTGATGAATGATAACCAATCGAGCCAATTCCACCCGCATAGCTTTGCGGATATACTCATGAATGAATATCCTACTCAATCTTGTATATGGAACGATTCAGCACATAACACTAATCTGTTATCATCATCATCCGATCCTCAAAGCTCTTCCGAGAAACCTCAATATGGCTACTGTAACCCTTCAATGCCCTGCAGTCCCACGAGAGGACGGGCTCCAGAACTATCCATTCCTTCACGGCCCATGAGACTTTCGGAGCTACTTCCCTTGATAAATACTCTATACCCTGCCGAACATGCCTTCGAACCTTTGTTACAGAAATGGCAATCCGATGGGGAGTATATGGCCTGTGCCATTTCATGGTTGGATAATCCTAGCCATTGCAAAAACCTACTCGGCTCCTCTCTCACTGGCGGTAATTACTTCAAATCTATCGACGAAAACGTCCCTTTCCCAGAGCGCATCACTTTGACCAAAGCATTTCTTAAAGCTTCTATTCTACACAACGTATCGCCATCACAGAGTATCTGGAGTGTAATTTGGGGATCTACTAGATACGTGGATCAATGGCAAACGGTGAAAGACAATCTTCTGGACGCGTCATCTGGATTTATCGCGGAACCAGGCTCGGTTTTCCATCTCTGTGCTCTTGCGGTTATGGGCGAAGACCTACTTCAGGACTATAAGAATCGACTCGAATCATTGAAGCCACTCACTATCGACAGAATTGATGATGTAAAATGTTTACGTAAACAATACTTTGATATTCTGAAGGATTTTCGCAATCAAGAAGTCGATGTTGATATATCCTTCTACAAGTACTCGCTGGAAATACTTGAATGGAATGAGGTTCTAGCGGATCAGGAGAAAAGTAGGATTGATCGATTACTGGTGAAATATAGAAGGTTGGTGGGCTTCTGGACAGGGAATTCACCATCCTGGATCGATGGTAGCGTCGACAGAATGATAGAGAATGCTGAGCGCAGATGCTTTTCTGGAAATGCTATGTCATCGCCCGGGCCATCGTTCGCACCGGAAATTGTTTAGTGGATTCCATGAATTGGAAAAGTATCCAGTATGTTGTGAGGATCAATCAGTTATCATTATGCATCAATGGGCTGCAAGCAAATGGCAAGATAAATCAATATCAATTTACATATATTAGATGACAATTGATGGAATCTCCGTCGAGCATTGCATATTGTATTATTATTTTTTGAATAGAAGAAGCCAAAAGCTTCGAAAGAATTTTCGATTTCAAGGAGGGGCTTATAGTCGCGCTAGTGGGCATTCCTTCCTGTCTGGAAACAGAACAACAGAATAGACAGCATCGTTACTACTTCTCTTCTTGCCAGACAGAAATATCTGTGAATTAGATATTCCTACTATTATAATATGATGAGAATCGACGATATCTATTTTCAACTCGTTGATGGACAAACCTGATTAACTACACCATCCTCACCCAAGGAACGGTCTTTCGTTCCAGAAGCTAGGTTCACAGCATCTCCGTAGGTTCAATTCGCCGTCCGTATCCATGAACTTCCACTGCCTTTGGTGTTGTACTATCTGCTTCCACTATATCTACATGCCTCGGTTTCCTTCTGGGGTCGAAGGAACCTGGCTTGGTTTCTGTAGCTGAAAGTTCAGGCAATCTGCTCCTGGGGTGCTTTCGCTTCCACAATAATAATGCGAATAAGGTCATTAGCACAATGAAGGCCCCAGCACCTGCTCCTATCCCGGCCTTTGCGCCTGTTGATAAAGACTGGGCTGTATATGAGGAAGAGATCGTCGGAGTTGATGACGGTAAGGGTTGGTATACTGTTGAGATTAAGACTGATGCCTGGACGGTGCTTGTTTGGACTATAGCTGATAGCATCCCAGAAGTGGTGGACGACATAAGCTTCGAAGATTGTATGCTGATTGGCGTTGAAGATATAGCTGTAGTCTGGGAAGTTTGAGAGCTCAAAGAATCCCCCACTGCTGTATCCGAGACTTGGTTATTAACTATGAATTTTCCTTCGTTCGCGCTGCAACAATCGGCTGCATTCTTCCCGCAGCAAAAACTACCATTTGGACATGCCGTGACCTCAGTATCGTTTGCTACATACCAGACTCATCAGCTACAATTCCTTGTTACAGTGTATATTATGCATCAGAGAGTCCATACCTCCAACACACAATCGCAAACACTGCGGAGACTGCCATGTCTTATCCGTACACGATTCTCTCCAGAGCTGCGTCCCACTTATACCACAAAGACCGTACGTAGATCCAGAGCCACATTCATCTCCTCCGTTGTCGCTGTTTCCCAGATGACAGCACATACTGACGGGTGCTGAACCATTACATGGCCTATATGTCGGATCCCTCTCAACTCCCTCATAACTATAGCATTGTCCCGCCACCAATCCTACGAGCCAGCCAATTAAAACGAGAGTAATAATTCGAAGCATTAGTAACGATTGTGATGTGTCACGCAAAATCGGAAAAAGTTCACCAGCAATCAATTGATCGTATTCTTTGATTGTCGCTGCAAAATCAAAAATTTCGAAGGCAGAAAAGTCAAAGACAGTCAGGCTGTTTAACGCGGAAACACGAAATAGCTATTTGTATTCTAGATAACTGCTTGAAGTAAAGGATTGATGTCAAAAATACCTACCCGGCACGAACAGTACAAATAATTTCCTTATGGCGGTTACAGAACCGATGCATGGCTTATAATTAGTTGATTGATTTGCTACTACGAAGAAGGGGGTAGAGTACCGCTGTGAATTATATGGGTGGTTACCGCTGAAGGATCGTTTTGAAGTACTGGGGAAATTTTCTGATGTCAGATTTTCAGCCTCTGACAGCCCCCACCTTATTTGGGGTCCGAAGAGATACGATGAAAATATATCACTAGATGTTTACTTTTCCATAACTCAGGTAGGGACAACTTTTAAATTCTTGTATTATAGACTTTGACTTCATTCAACGCCATATATACTGATGGAGTATCACAAGTGTATCAAGCCCCAAAAGTTGCTAGTGCAGTTTTTTGTTTTTATAATACTCTCTACAATTTTATTACCACGTTCTTCAGATGGGCCTCAAGAAGTATTGCTTACAGCAATGAAAAAAACCCTTTGGAAATTTTATTACAATCTCATTGCCAAGTATTGATGCTAATGCAATGCTCATAATATGTGCTTCCAAAGTTAGAGGACAATTGACGAGTACCTGCACTCAATCTCCTATCTGTCTCAGAGAATTGTGTTTTCCTTGATAAGTACTCTCTTCAACACCGCTAACGACCTTTGTCCATATGTATCTCATATCCATGCTCGGCTCCGTAGTCTCCCTTAGGGTCCCAGCCCTCCCTGAGATCCAGCATTGCAAATGCGTTGCAGAGCCAGATCCAATCCTGCTTTTCTTGGCATAGGCCAGACGTTCAAATTCAAAGTTGAGTGCACCGATCTCGCGAGCACAAAAGACCAAACACTCACCACATAGCTGAAAGATTATAGGAGAGTTGGTTGAAGACCTAGAATTTGATTCCAGAAGGGTTGCTAGAGGCACCTTTGACATCTTGCTCATCGCTTATCTAAATAGTGGTTAGCGACAGCAAAAGACGTGAAAAGGAAAGAACCCTACTAAAGGCGTCGTTCCTTAAGTTCATCTGCTAATATAAAGATCAGAAAGCTAAGATATCAGAGATCGTCACTTCCATCCCTCCAACCAGAAAATCGAGCTAACATCGCCGCACCGTAAAAGTAGGGGGTATTAGCCGGTTGAAATGAAAGGAAAGTCGACATGGGGATCTGGCTGAGCGTTGACCATTTCTGCTATTCCTCCGAGCTTTCTTGAGCTCTCGGATGGGTAATGTGATGCCTAAGCCAAGATCTACGGGTATTGTGTAAAACATTGTTTTCGACTCAGTCTTCGGGTTTCTGTATGTTTCTTTGAGTTGTGGATGTAGTAGGAATGATTGTAGAAAGTCGAAAAGCAGGGAGATATTCTGACTTTATATGTTGGTATGTCAAGATTGTCTTTGTCCTGAAAGATTGTTTCAGAACCGTGCCATCAACCACATGCATACAGTATGCATGCGAAGTAGTTTCAATTTTTTTGAAAGAAAGCCACAGATACAACGAGAGGTGGAAGTTGACGGATCCAACAAGAAGGAAATTAACTTTCCATACTGTAGGGTCAATGTACTTAGCTCCGCATAGGGCAGTGAGCTACACGTATAATTTCTTTTGATATCTATTGGAGCGAATCTACTAGACTCTGGAATTGTGAATTGTTTCGAAATTGGAATTGCTGGCTGTGTGCCGTAAGGCTGCGTGCATGAATGCATGTGTGTTCTTTTGATTCGAATAGCTTGGATCATAATACTTCGCGAGATTGGAGATTACCCTTGGTAAAATACTCAACATGTTAGTTGTTGGACAAGTAACTACCGATGCTCACTTCTCGATAGCTTACAGACGAATAGATATGTGGAAATTATGTAAGATGTGAGGTGAGACGACGTGTGAGATGTGAGATTTGATTGTTTGGTATTCCATTGTTTGTTTGTTGGCATTTGTTTTGATAGTGGAGGGTTCAGCTTCCAAATTATTGATCGTTGGCAAAAATGTGTACTTGCGCTCTTGATGTAGACAACACAAGCATTGCAGACAATCTTATGCACCAACGGTTGGTAAAAGTCCCAGAAAGTTTACCTGCTGGTTCTAACTCTCATCCACCCCAACTAATTGAAATGTTTCATTACTATTAATCTCGAGAAATCAGATGAGATGTCAGATTTATCACCACTAGTCTCAAACGCTAAGAAGTTGTCAACTAGTAAGACTTAGAGTCAGTTGCCTGAAGACTGTTGACTTACACATTAATGTCCACTGATGGCAATACGGCTCGGAAGTATTGATCCATTCATGTCTCTGTCTGAGATAGAAGCGACATCGAACGAGGGAAATGAGAGGGAATGATTCAATCATTAGTACATCTAACCACTTTGATGGTGGCCTTCATACTATGAAATAGAAGAAAATATGGCCAGGTGATCCAGTAAGTGTGAGTTCGGGTAGTGAACTCATTAGTGACCTGTTGTCCAAAAGACCCTTGGCTAACATACCAACCACTTAAAGGCTTCAAGGTCTTGATATTAGTTGTCATTTCAGCCTTACGATTAGCATTTTCAAATGATGCCTAGCTCAAACACTAGTCTTCACACCAGTAAATTAGCGTGGAAACAAGAGCATGATGTCATCGTCGTTGGTCTAGTGGGAAGCGATACTAGGCTTTGTGATTAAAGACTTACAGGTATGCCCGTTGTAATAGTGATGTTGTTGAGAATTATGAGCCCAAACCTCTTCTCAAACTATTCTCAACCCGTGCTTGAGCGCTAATAATTCTTCTTGCAAAGAATGAGCTATCTTGGACATATTCAATTGCTCACTCCTTGTCTACCACCCTGAATGTTCAGAGAAATCTGAACGCCGATGTCCTGCTCTCAGTACTTTGCAAAAAAAGGAAAAAAAAGGATAATACTCTCATCCATCCTTCTCTTCAAACCAGAACAGAGGATGTCACTTACGCCAATTCAACTACATGCGTCTAATTACACTAGCGGACAACAATATGTTGGAAGGACCTGTAAGCCCACTACGATATCCAACTGTTGTGAATATTGTCGTTAATGAAGATCAGGAAATGGGCAGTTCTGTCGGGAAGTTTTGTCTATGTTATTTTCGAACTCTCGGAAGGGAGTCCATTAATAAAGGAATCTCCGTAGTTGAAGTTGCGGGTCTGGTATCGTTAGTCATGGTCATTTGGAGGTCGATTTATGATAATGAGAAGATGGGTTAGAGAGTATTGTTTGTTGGAGTTTTCTGCCTTATTTGGGAATATATAGTAGAGTATGCATGGCTTGCGTGCGGGTGATTGAAATAAAGAATTGCTTCCAGGATCATTGATTGCTTGTTCGGGATTTACAAACACCTTGACGCATGTTGAAATGGCCATGAGCACTTGAAGTGAGGATGTGCGAATATGGAACACATACATGGCAACGTACATAGTAGAAAAAGTGCTGCAAATCCAGGTGAATATGTATGATCAATATCTGCAACCCCCTTATTCAAATTTACTAGAAATGAATCTTCAGCTCATCAAATTCACGGGTTCTCCAACGGATACTTCATACTTAGGTATGTATTATTCCAGTTTTAGCAACGCAAATATAATGGGAATTATCCCACTTGCGAGAAAAGTACAACAAACTATGTCTCCATCTTGGACCCAATGCCTCATACGTCTATTGTATGGAAAGCGAAAGTCCCGCTCCCATTAAACTCCTGAAAATTGACTTCGTAGCTAAGGTAATTGCAACAAAGACTTTGAGTTCATCAACTAGATAAAGTTTGACGCACGTGAATACAGAAGTGCTACCGAAAATTAAGAGTGGTGGAGAGGATGGGTACGATCCAATGAATCATATATTCCGCCACTCACCCATGGAGAATAAACCCCATTGTGATGGGAAAGAACCAGGAATAAGAAGTAGGGGATGACACTCAGGTTTCATCACGCGCGGCTCTTGATCGGCTTCAGCAGCGAGAGTATTGGGTTTTGCGGTTGAATTCATCATCATACGATTTGAGAACTATCCAAACAAAACCAGACCGACCGTAGAACGGACACTCAAGCCAAGATACGTTAGTCCAACTCGTCCAGATTTGAATCTATTCGTCTCCTCAAATACCACCGTCAAGGCAGTAGAGAGAAAATAGAGGTCACTATACATTACGCCCATATATATTGCCATATATGATCAGTTTGGCCAGACATATGCTGATGCAACAAATCCTGCCAATTCAGAGCCAACACTTTCGCTCTCGACAACAAACGAAATATCGAGATAGGAATTTTGCAAATATGAAGAGAGTGCAGGAGCTGCATAGAAAGCGACCCAAAATACGCCTGTTACTCATAAGCAATATTGGCCACCCGCCCTTAAAAACCAAGGTAGAGTTCGACAGCGACCACGTATCATCTCTCCCTATCGAATTTGCAATCATCACTTCTCAACATCATCACTACTGACATATCGCCATTACACCCCACCCCAAATTCCAATTCGCCAGAACATACTGAAACATGAGAGACCACTGCCATCATTCATCTCAGGTCCTCTTTCGAGCCCAAACCAAATACATGCCTTGAAAATCTTGATATCGTTCTATTCCTACTCAATCGATCACCCGGAAAATATTTTCACCTCCCCATTCCCAATCCAAACATCAAGACCAAAAACACAGAAGAACGTATCATTCCAAACACCCCTACCTAACTATCCCCTCATCCTCCTCTCCACCTCCCTCCCAACAAAAAACAAAACCAAAAAAAAAAGCATCAATCCTCTCAACCAGAATTCTTTGCCCCCTCCCCCCTCAAGAATATATCGACACCTATCTATCACAACAGACTACCATCCATCTTCGAGATACCACCACCACCATATATATCCATCAAATTCCCGCTAGCAGCTATTCAAAATTTCGGACCGATGAAGAATCAATCCACTTAGATTGAACAACAGTGATAAAATAAAGAAAAAAGTTAGATATGTTTGAGGCTTGTGTAATGGTGTTGCAGTGGAGGGAAACGAAAAAGAAAAGGGGATGGTAAAAGAATGTCCCAGACGAGTGTATGTTTACTGGCTGCTCCTCGGGTAATACGTTTACTTTCATTGTGAGGAGTTGAGTGCGGGTTACAGGAAAGGACGTGATGAGTTGGAGATATCTATATTCCCACTCACTTGTGCTTTGGAACGAGTGCCTAGACTCTTGAGGTGAGATTGGAATTATGTAAAGATTATATTAGAAAGTTATCATTCACTCACTCAAGACATGAAGAGGGACAATGTTTTAGGTATAAGAAGGGTATCGTTCATTCATCTATCAATGTTGCAGAGTAATGCAAATAACTATCCTTTTCGAACCTTTCCGTTCTGCCTTTCCTATTCCTCCAGGATATCCACCCTTCGATCCATACCAAACCGAATTACACAAGACGTCATAAAAGTAACCTGAACGCCCGACGCTAAATGCAACAAGTATTTTGTCTCATTCATCTCTTCCTTAAATCCTCCTATTGGTCCAATGACCATTTTTCATCCGTAGACATCCACCACTTAGATAGCACCGTGAGAATAAGGCTCATAAGCACCAGTGCGCGTTGGTTGATGATGTTGTTGCTGATGGTAGATACCGTGTTGTTGACCACCATATGCAGTTTCTGGCCCATCAATCTTCTGATAAGCCATAGTTTGTGGGATCAACTTCTCTTGATCATTGACGCTGCGTCTGTTCTTCTTGCTGCTGTTGTGCTCAGATGCGCAACAACAGATAGTGAAGACCCAGAAGAAACTGCTTGCGATGCTGAAGGCAACAGCGAGCCATGTAACGGCGAGGAAATGGGTATCGATAGAAGCTTCGATTCCATATGCTTTGGCGGCTGTTTTGATGGAACCGACTGTGACGGAAGAGAGGACGGTAGCCAAGATAGATGCGGCAATGACAGCGGCGGTGCTGAAACCAGAGATCATGTATGTAACGCATGAGGCGGCTCTAGAACACATGGCGAAGATACCAAGGAAGAGTTCCAATGCTGTGGCGATCAAGGCGATGATGTATACTACTTGTGTCCATTTTGATATTGCGGTAAAGGTCTTCAAAGCATGTCTGACATCGCTTGGGAGAGTGGCATTGACACCTGTCGCAGAAGCAAGAGTGTCGATGGTACTAGTGTTGAGAGAAGTGGCGGCCCAGTTGAATTTCGCCTTGGTGCATGTGGTGTTCTTGCCAGTGATAGCGCAATAACCCCAAAGACTAACCTTGTAACTATCCGCCAAATCCAAGTCTGCGGCCGTGATGTTGGTTGCTGAATTAGTTCCGGTGATTGAAGCAATAGCAGATTCGACAGTGTTCTTCTCAGAGGTAGTAGAAGGAGTCAAGGCGGCGACGGTGAGATCTGCAAGACCACGTTTGCGGAAAGAGTTCTCGAGGCTGAGGAGTTTCGAGGAGGAAATAGAGAGGTTGGTTGTGTTGACGACGAAGATATCGAGAGACTTGTCTGTAACGCCAGCGAGGGATGCGATCAGAAGACAAACTAAACTGGCGAGGGTTAAGCCAAATGGCACACCGACGCAAAGAAATCGACCGAAACCCATGATTTTGAGATAGTGTAACGATTGTTGGTGTTGGTGTTGGTGTTGGTGTTGGTGTTGGTGTTGGTGTTGGTGTTGGTGGTGGTGTGATTATTCTCTCAACTTATTCTATCGTTGATGATGTGGATATCGTAAAATCAAATACCAAGAGAAAGAACGAATGTGATTCTTCTAAGATGGATAGATTGACAGATTGATCGATAGAAGAAATCAAATCAAATGAAGAAAAACAACGAAGGATCGATGTAACTTTGTAACTTGATGGTATGAGATGGCAAGAGAAATAATGTGGAAGGGCAGGATTGATATTTATGATTATGTAGTAGCTGTAAAGTAAGGGTAGTAAGGGTAAGTAAGGGTACCCGACTGGTACTGTGGTAGGCGGTGCAGGAGAGCAACGCAGTCTGTATGGGGCTGTGAACTGTGAACTGTGAACTGTGAACTGTGAACTGTGTGAATGACGAAAAAACACAGACTTTTCTATGGGGAAATCCTGGTTGATTGTCGAAAGATTTGAAACATTACGGGATCTTCGATGATGTTTAACATGAAGTTGAGGTTTTTTGATGTTTTCGTAGAAGGAAAGGAAGGAATGAATTCAATCGATTCAATCTGATATACAGTTCACAATCATTTACTATCATCCGATACCAACAACATAGGTACTGTGTATCTGATAACCCCTTCCAAGGGTCCTCTCTTCCTTCTTGCCTTCCTTACTCATCTCATTCCACCAGTGTTCCTGTATTCAGCCCTGACCTGGTCGAAGGAATCCCTATCTTATTTCGTATCAATAAGATATCAATATATCACAAACTCACATCTTAATTTCTCACAGGACTATCACTGTCGAACTTGTATCATCACCACCCGACACTCTTTGTTTGCTGCGTATTCGCACTCACCCACCACTTTAGGATTTATATCACCGTGTGGCTGGATCCTCTGATTACCTTGCTGCGCTAAGCCTCTATAGCAATAGTTTTGTCAAAGATTCGTACCTGATTCATCGCCCTACCGTGGGTCAACCAGTGAAAAAAGCTGGACTGACTGAAAAAGTCTATTTATATCTCCTCTTCTTCGCCATTGTCTTTTTTACTCGACCCTACCGATAACCACTTTAGGCTTAGTGGCGTGCTTGGTGGTCTCAAACACATCGCCAGCTAACTTGGGAAAACGAACTGTGGAACAAGAATTTTAGAACAGAGCAGTATTTAATGATGTATCAGTAATATCAAGTTTCCTACACGAGGCTTCATCTTGCGTCGGAGAAGAGTATCATTTTCAAAACATCACACGATAACTCGCAACCTTCATTTAGTACGTAAGAAGCACGGTAACTCTCCGAGAACCTCAATTAATTCTCATCAACAATCCATCCATAGATATGGATATCCATCCCTATCACTGTCAATCACTGTCAATCACTGTCAATCCATCAATCAAAAGTATGGAGAAACCTCGCAGTCATACTACGGTAGTCCGCGTGAACGGCTCGAGTGGTGGGTAGGTGGGTAGATAACAAAAAATCTTACATACATACTTGCTCAAGCCCACCAGTGGGTGTACGGACTCACGGGACAGTACAAAAATGAACTTGTAAATATCTTTTGATATATTGAACCATTTATTTTAAGATTTGTTATATTTCTTGAATAAAGATAAAATAATCAAAATACAAATTCTGATATCAAACAATTGAAGAATGGATTTATTGAAAATATTGAAAATTGGGAAGTGTCCCGTCAGTCCATGCACCCACTGGTGGCCCTCCCAGCCTGGCGTGTCAAAACAAAACTTCACACCAGAGATATGGATCCCGCCATATCATATCATATCAAGCCCATAAGTTCCTACGCGTCTTTTAGAGTTGCCAAGACCTTCAAAGTGTCAAGCCGTGCCGTGTCAACGTAATTCTGGACGTGGCTGAGAACTTTACAGAGAGAATCCATATTCCACCACATCTAATGATGGGGAAGAATAAGTACTTGCAGAGAGTAGATATGTATTTATATATTAACATAACTGGATTTGATCTGAAAAGTTCAGATCGTAGGTTCTCAATTACTTTCGAATCTGCAGAAGCCTTGGTGAGCAGAAAGGATCTAAATGGTTACATGAGTTCAGGCACCGCGCGCGGGGGTTAACATCGTTTCAGTGCCCTGTTACTGTGTGCTATGGCCCTGTGTTGGTTGGAAAGGGCATAGACCCCCCTGCTTGCCATTCAGTGTAAAATTTCGTGGTTTGGCAATACGATATATATTTCTTTCGTGCGGGGACACCGACATTTAAGTTTTGATGGGAAATTTGTTTCGCGTGGGGAACGCACTCATCGTCGGGTGTCACCTTATGTATCCCGGTATATGAGGAAGCTTATCTCGCACTATGCCTAGGTGTTAGTAGGGTGCTTTTTACGAGATATCATCTCAATGTGAGTATGTCTTGTCAGTGGGAGATTCAATGCAAAGGCTATTTAATTCTAGATTTTGAGATGCGGACTTGGAAAGTGTATCTTAAACTTGGAATAGGATATGAAAAGGAGTATTATGAGTTCTATTCGCTGATATGTATTGGGTGGCTATACTAATAATCGCTGGTCTAGATGAAGGCAAGGTACTGTGCTGTAGTCAGGTACAAGGGATGGGTCTGCTTTTAGATAATGTTACCATTCAAAATAGTATCAATTCTTTTCGTGCTGTCCATCACGATTGGAGAGGGAGGTTAAACTGAATGATTCAAAAAGCGAAACCAAGAAGGAAGCAATTGTTAGCGCTACTACTATTACCAAACAGTTCAATATCCTAAAGAACTCCTGAACTGGGTGGACACGTTGAAGCATGTTGCTTTCTCTTTCTACATAACTTTGAATTCCTCGAGCGTAGCGTACAAGTTCTCCCTCAGAGGTGGGACGCCGAGCATGTTCGGAGTTTGTCACGAAGACCATCAAAAGATCTAGGGCTGCCAGTCGATTCAGGCGCCGCATAGTCAACGGCGATAAACGGTTGCTACTGTCTTTGAGGATATTGCTGTCTTTGCGTACTACCAGGCAGAGCCTTCGTATCTTGTCCCGGGTTTCAGTAAAGTTTAGGAGCCTCAGTGAACTTTCGGAAACAATGAAAAAATCAATATCGAAATTCATGAGAGCCTCGACTGCAAAACATGGGAATTAGTGGGAACATTGTAGCAATATAAATTGTCCAAAGAGGGGCTAGACATTGGGGTGTACGACAAAGAAGAATGGACGTTACATACCCTTGGAGATTTCTCCTTGCATATATTCTATGGATTGTGACGAGCGAGCAAGACGTTCATCAAACTCTGGACCCGCCATGCAGACAAACGTAGCTGTACCATTCACAGGCCTCGAACCATGAAGAGCGAAGAAGCAAGGACCACCGGCTACTTCTCGAGTGTCCATGCTCCATGTATCAATTATGCCAGCCTTTTTGGGAATGCGAGTGCTTGTGCGAGAAAGAAAAAGCTCCTCGATGGGCAAATCGATAATAATTGCGGCGTCATCAATGGCAGCAACAATGGCAGTAACTATACGCCCTTGAAGAAAATTCCATATCCATTTGTGATGTCGAAAGTCAAAATCAAGCGCTCTAAAGTTCGAAGGCAAAGTGTACCCGCGATAGTGCCTAGTCGTACTCATCGCCTGAATTTTCATCACAATTGATTCATGACTGCCTTCGTTCCCACTGTTCTCCCGAGACCCAATTATATCGAGTGAATGAACCGACTTCCTCGTATTGTCCTGCTCTTGATTTGTCTGCTCTATCACCTCCTGACCAGCATGAACCGACTCACTTGTATTGTCCTGCTCTTGATTTGTCTGCTCTATCACCTCCTGACCAGTATGGGCCGACTCGCTCCTATTGTTCTGCTCTTGATTTATTTGCTCTATCACCTTTCGACCAGTATGAGCTGACTCGCTTCTATTGTTCTGTTTTTGATTTGTTTGTTCTATCACTTCCTGATTAGTATGGGCTGATTCGCTCTTATTGTCCTGCTCTTGATTTGCCTGCTGAATCACTTCCTTACTAGTATGAACCGACTCACTCCTATTGTTCTGCTTTTGATCTGTCTGCTGGACCACCTGATCAGATTTATAACCAAGCTTATATCTTCTACCCCCAGTCTTGTTCAATCGCTGGTAGACCTTTCGAATCACTTCTAGAATTTCCTGATCGCATTCATGATCGAGCTCACACTCAGTGCTCCGATGATGAATCCCTTGAGGATCCATTGTTTAACCGTAATGTGGTCCTATAAGAATGCCTTTGATAAAAATCCAGGTGGACATATTATTGCGATTCTCCAAAATTATGCATGAAGTTGGAAAAGGTCAAACAAACAAATCGGAAGAGGAGGAAATTAAAGGGAGTGGAACGAACGTAAGTGTAAGTAAGAATGGAAATTACACGTTTAAGTGATAATGACAACCGCAACTGGAATATACTTTCGCATGTACCAGATGATGGAAAGAGCACACAAGAGACTCAAGGTTGCTATAGCACCCTTCCCCATAAATACCTATGCTATTGAGAAACGAGGAAAATGATAGACAGAGAAATGAAGAAGACTGGAAGTCCATCCCCGAAATAACCACATGGATTCTCGAATACTTGCACGACACCAATTCTTGCTACTTAGCAACGCGGAAAGGTTGATGCCTTTGAGATCAATCGATTTGGACATGTACCAATTCCATGGTTCGCATTTTCTTACATGGAACAATATCAAGTCTATGCTGAAGTACCTTTCTCTGACCAAGGTGTTTGATTTGAGTCATTGAGCACTATCAGCAATGTGGATATCCACTCCAGTCTTCAGTCTTTTCTTCAGCTTAGCCTTCTCTTCGTATGAAGGTATCAGATGGTGAATCGGATGATGCATCTGCTCTTCTGCCTACACCTTTGAAGGCCGTTAAAGATATCAAGAAAATGATCTGTGGCTGTGTCTTGCCTCTTCAGACGTCTCTAATACTGTTCTTGCCACTTGTGACTATCACCTCAACGACAGCGTATTGAATATTCCAACTGCTCCCCTACCGCCGTCTCGGTATTCCCATGGTCACTCAAAATCAACATCTTGTACTCCGTACCCAGGGCGATATGGTTCTAGAATAATCTAGAATGTAGATGGCTCGGAATGGAATGGACATGGAACGGATATGGAGATCTAATAGGTTTACCTATCTGGACAATCAATACTGAGTACATATTGTTTAACCTCGGAGGATATAAGTAGGTGAGATATTTGATCAAAATCCATCATAATACGATAAAATATCGAGGGCTCCGAATCGGTGAATTTACCAAAAGTAGGTCAAACCAAGATAATACGATAGAATCAGTCAGTACCTAGTTGAAGTGATACTTTTTTAGTCGTCCTAAAAGATCTTTACTAATTTTGACTTCACTTGAACTTCACTCTCTTTCTTGACTTTTCTAAACCTTCCGAGCCTTCTTAACTTTCTTTCCTCTCTTCCCTCGTCATCAAAATATGTAGTGCGATCGCCAAGCATTTTTTCTTCACAGCAACCAATCATTGTATGGAAGAACGAAAGACCATCCATCATCTTTTTTGGCCTTTGGGTCTTTTTTTGGTCCCGGTTCCCGATAGCCCAAAATCAAAACTAATAAACCAACAACCCCATTCAAAGGAACGAATTGGAAGAAAACAAACAACCAACGAATCCCTTTACATAACGGAGCCTTTTTGATAAATTCAATTTATCTTTCATCATCAGTTATCGACTATTGATTAACTTTTCTAGTTCTCCGTTGAGTCCTAGATTCCGAAGGAATTTATTTGTAATTCGTCCACACCCTCTGGTACCATCTACCCACCTTACACACATCCATCGTCTTTGAGGCAAACCTACCGGTCTTTCAGGAAGCTAGAACGCATACGTTCTGGGACGAGCCGCTTCCGTCCCCCCACGGTTTCTGCTCGATATAACTTTTGTAATACATCGAAAGTCGCTTTCGCCAATATACCTAGGCACTTGGGGCGGTCTTCTCGATAATCGCAGTGCTAACGGAACGGATCTCCATCTCGACGAAGACTTTAGCTTCAGCAAGATCGACTCAGCCTCAACGCTAGGAATTGCTTAATCTTCAGTAAAGGTACGTACCAATCCTCATGCCCATGATATTCCTTAACCTCTCCCTTCACTGCTTGAATGTACAAAGGTGACTTGCTTCATCCCGCTCAAAACATCACACAGCTTTATGAAGGAGATAGTGCAGCCGAACTCATGCTTACAACCAGATAGACAGCATATCATAGTTTACTACTTCTCCGAGACAAAGTCTTCCTCAAAAGCCATACAAATTTGCTCGCACGATTGCACACAACTCGAACTGTCATTAGAACCATACAGCTCGTCTACTTCGGCAATATCACCTTACGGTTAGGCATTCGGATAAAGTACACGATATTTCCCCAAGACGATCTAGGCGGTGTTCGGTGATATATCACAATTCCTCCTCAACGCAAGAAGGCAATCTCTCACCTCTTTGGCTCATATTGACAGCTGAACGGTAGCGACATCTCTGAGTCATCCCGAATTACACGGAGTTAGTACTCGATAAAGATCTGCTGGGCTCACACATTTAAACTTGGAACGATGGGAAATCAACCCTCTAAAGGTTCGGGGTCTGCAACCCCGCGGAGAAGTGCATCTCAAACGTCTCTTGATAGAGGATCGGATAATTTATCATCTTATCCTTCATTCAGCAAAGCAGATACCAAGGAATCCAACAAATCGTTCAGAGGCGCCCTTCGATCAAAAATACCAGGCTCCAAGGACAGCCCCAGAAACTCGATTGCTGGAATAGGTAGCCTTATAGACTCAAACGACAAGTCCGATGCTGCTTCAATGAAATCCGGGAAAAGCGCTATATCAGGCAGGGCATCATCTGTGCCAGGCTCACCAACATCACCTCAAGATTCTTCGGAAGATATCCCCTCACCAACCGATGATCTCAAACCTCCTCCATCGCCCGTTCAATCCGCTTCGGTGAAGTCTGGACATCATGATGTCAGTGCTGCACAACGTAGTGGTGAGGTAGATCATGTCTCCGACCAACCCCCTTCCGGCACAGTCAATCCTTACGCAGTTGGCGGTCGCGCTGGGCAATCTATACTGGTCAGGAGAGCAAATGAGATTAATCCTGTTGACACAGCTACCTTGCTAGCTGCTCCAATGAATGGATCGAATGAAACCGCACTCTCAACCTCAAACTCCGCACAAATTTCTATGGGTAGCTTGAAAGATAAAGATCTTGACGACTACATTTCGCGACTCTTGGATGCAGGATACCAGGGCAAAAGCACAAAGGGAGTCTGTCTTAAAAGTGCGGAAATTAACTCAATTTGTCTTCGAGCGAGAGAGATTCTATTAGAGCAACCGCCGCTGATTGAATTGGAAGCCCCAGTTAAGGTTGTAGGTGATATACATGGGCAATACTCGGACCTCATACGCATGTTCGAAATGTGTGGATTCCCTCCCTCGTCAAACTTCTTATTCTTGGGTGACTATGTCGATCGAGGAAAGCAGTCCCTTGAGACAATTCTATTGCTCTTGTGCTACAAAATCAAATATCCCGAGAACTTCTTTTTGCTAAGAGGCAATCACGAATGCGCAAACGTTACTAGAGTCTATGGATTCTATGATGAGTGTAAACGAAGAGCTAATGTCAAAGTGTGGAAGACGTTTGTAGATGTCTTTAATTGTGTATGTAGCCACCTTTTGATCTAGTATATATGCTTTTTGGATTTTCGACTAACTTTGTGGCCAGCTACCTATCGCCGCAATTGTCGCAGGTAAAATCTTTTGTGTTCATGGCGGCTTATCTCCCGCTCTTAGCCATATGGATGATATCAGAAATATCGCTCGACCAACAGACGTCCCTGACTATGGATTACTTAATGATCTTTTGTGGTCTGATCCTGCAGACCAGGAAGCAGATTGGGAGCAGAGCGAGAGAGGCGTTAGTTACTCGTTTGGTAAGAAGGTCATCCAGGAGTTTCTGTTGAGACATGATTTCGATTTGGTCTGTCGGGCACATATGGTTGTTGAAGATGGTTACGAGTTTTTCGAAGGTCGAGTCCTTGTTACGGTGTTCTCTGCGCCCAATTATTGTGGCGAATTTGACAATTATGGCGCCGTTATGAGTGTTTCGACAGAATTACTTTGTAGCTTTGAACTATTGAAGCCATTGGACTCGAGCGCGTTGAAGAGCCAGATGAAAAAGAGCCGCAACAAACGAAACAGTATGGTCAACAGTCCTCCGCCGACCGGAACCTTTGCTCCGCAGAGCGTATAATGAACTGTCGGATAATTTTCAAACAAATATAGACGAAAAATTTGCTCTGGATGGAAGACCCTATACATTCGAAGAAGAAAACCCAAAACAAGATGCGATGTCAATGATAACGGAGCATGCCATGATTTACGCGCTTACAGAGGTCATGTAAGAGTGGCCAAGTACATACAAGACTAAAAGGTGGCCTAGAAGAGATTTCAGTCACTATAAAACGTCTAAAAGGTCAAGGCTCGTATTTCACGGCATCGAGAAGGTCAAGATAGATAGTGGAGGCTGGAGGCTGCCCGTAGATGTTATATGCACACATTTGATTTATTTTCCTTTCCTGCGGATAGTTTCTTGTCCGCGATATTAACAGGCTCTCCCCTTTCTCGAAAGTACGACACGGAAACGGATACATTTTATATTGGCGTTATTTGTTTTGGCACGTCTGGAATGGGGGTCAGAAGATCACAAACATAAACTCTACTTTTTCTTCGCCTCTGTAGAGTACTCAATCGCTGTTTATGAACATACAGACGGGTAGGTGGGTGATGGATGGTAGGTATGTATGCTAGGTTAATGGTGTATCTGGCATTCATAACATGTGGGGTAGAGGTCAGAGTAGAACCCAGCGGCATCGCTGGAGTGGGGGGTTGTTGGGAGGGGGCGACATGGCATAGAAACATGGTAGCTCTTGAGCATGGTGTTGATTGAGTCGATTTATCGACTGATGCAATCGATAGATGACGAAACGATATGAGATTATAAGCGTTCTTCCAATTCCCGATCTTTATACATGCGTGCCCATTGGAGTGATGTGAGTGAAAGTTTTGTCTCTTTCATTTCTATGTCTAAATTCGTATTTCTCTGGATGAAAATTAGAGACGACCAGGCAGGTCCTTCAATGCGAAAGTCCAAAAATCGACATCTCGTCTTGTAGTGATTGGGAAGTCTCAGACGAAATGCCTACTGTAAGCATCTATGTACTTAACCTTACAGAAGCTTCCAAACCTCTTTTGTTCTCGTCTCAACTTGCTTCAAATAGCAAATCTATAAGCTTTTAGTTACTATAGGAAGACTCCCCAAGGACTTTTGAAAAGTCCCCTACTTGAGGGAATTTTGTCTAGCCTCCATTTATATACTCGCAGGTGCGAATTTGTTTAACAGTTTGATTACGAAATTTGGATTTTGACAGTGGTTTTATGCTGCTGATGGTCATATCCTAGTGTTCATTTGAGATGTGACGAGATGTCCAGGGGGATGGGTGGATGTTTCGTGAATTCCGATTTATCCATTCTTTGGGAATGAGTTGTAGTCCCAAGGAGTACTCTAGATATCTATACTCTAGTTGTTAGAATAGGCTGTAAAGGTACTCGCTAAGCGAGATGTTGGATATGGGGAGCGAGCTTAGATTTTGGGGGATGAAGAGAGGTAAGTGAAGTAGTCTGTGGAAGGATTTGGGTAGTGCAGGTTGATGGGATAGAGATTTATGTGGAAGCGTGGGAATACTTGGAATTGTAAAGATGCATTTGGAAGATTGGATGGTAGAGAAATGAGGTCTAGGATTTTGTTGTCGATTTTGTCAACTAGCTACCTAAATGGAATAGAAGGAGAATGAATCAGAGTTTTATGATTCGTGTATTTCTGAGTATTAAAGTTTTCTATATAGTCTTAGGGATATTTGTTAGATATGCAGTTCCTAAGAATAAGATTCTGTGGATTGTGCGGCTGGAGACGAAGCGTGTAGAAATGGCTATCTGAGCAGTCATGGTTTATCTCGGGCTCTAAGAATATTTAGAACTGTAATGAAAATTAGGCGCACAGCAAAATAGGAATACCTATCTAATCTACGGCTAGATGATATCAAGAAGGCATGGCTTTGCAAACTTGTCCCGACTTTTTGAGGCTGGATCCACCGAGAAAAGATCATGACCAACAGTCGACCTCTTCAATCTTCAACCAACATATCAATGACTTAAGCTTCCAGAAAATCTCCAAGTCTCCCAATGCCCTTTTGATCAAGATCAGGCTCGTAAACAAACTTCCGGGGCTTGGGTTCAATCTTTACTGGCAGATGGCAATCTCTCTTCACTCTCAGCCTCCCGAGTTTCAACCAACCCGTACGAAATGGATTGGGATCTCTGATGAATAGAAGGAAACCATGAGAGCATCCGTTCCAGTGCCGATGGAGCAATTGATTTCTCGGATCTTGAGAGCTCGCCATCTTCAGTGTACTCATTGGAGATTCGAAGGAGCCGGCTAAACGAAGTGACGTTCTCTGGGGATGTATCCTTAAAATAATTATAACAGCCAGTCGAGATTATGACCACCAATCCACCCATTATCTTCCACGCCGTAAAACCCGATGATCGTAATGCTGGAAACATGACATATTGAGTTGCCGCAATCGTGAGCAGACTGATCGAAGTTCCAACCAATTTTGTAAGATTGTCTTTTTTCCGCAGCATAGCAGCAACGATTAAGCCGACACCAGATGTTAGACACGAAAAATAGATAGCAATCGTTGCAGTAGATGTTACCGAGAGATTCGAATTCGTCCCCCGATCAGTCGTCATCCAAGTAGCGATGGGGTATGAGACGATGGAAAAGAACACTCCCCAAAGGTAGAGCCATAGTTGAGATTCCCAAAACGATCCGGTCTTGGTAAGAGACTCACTAGCAATGCTCGCGATTGCAGAAAATACCGCTATCACCAATCCTGCCACAGGAGCCACGAGCCAACCCTTTGTATCATCGCCCGAGGGGATATTGAAGAGAAAGAGCCCGAAGCAGAGGAATCCAAGAGATATCCATGATCGAGCGTTTCCTTGCTTCCTAACCCAGAAATGATGCAGGATCGCCGTCGCGGGAATTTTCGCCAGCATACATACTTGGAGAAGACTCGGCGATGTGGATGGCAGAATCGTGAAATATATCAGGTTATTTATGAGGTAAAAGGCTGCTGGAACACCGTATTGTAGAACATCCTTGAAGCCGTTCCTATTGAACTTTTTTCTTATGGAAGAAAGACCTTCCTCAGAGTGATTGATAATTATGGCTGCGATAGCAAGCTTGAGAGTTTCAGAAAGAAGTGCAATTAACGATGGAGTTATCTGGGGAGCCGTATGAAAGGCAAAGTACGCGTAGTTTGCGCGTATGGTTTCTCCGACGATATAGATTGGGAGGAGGTTGTCGGTGAAAGAACTCATGATTCAATGATATGAGGAAAACTAATTCGGAAGGTCGAATACAGAAATGAAAGAACACATCTTACAGTAGAAAGCCTTGGCTATCCTTACTTATTTATCAGTGTTCTAGAAGCAAGTAAGGGGCACAAGAGAAACGGAGAATTTGTCTCATTATTTGTTGTTTTGATCTATTTTCATCAGCTGGCTTTTCCATACCAAATATGATCGTTCGTAATAGAAAGATGGAATTTGAACAGAATGCATACAGGTAATTGTTTTCTTCATAAATATTGACCTACATGTACATTTCACGAGAAGGAGATGGAGGAGATGGATAAATTATGTGTGAACGACTATGTGCATATGTGCAACGGGCAAATGAGGAACGAACAATACCACGAATAAAACCTTTTCATCTCTGATACTTACTTGAATAAGTGAGTGCTCAACGAGATCTCATGAGATCAATAGATGTTGAAAATTATCTACGGACTCGAGATCTACACAGCGATCGACGGACAAGTGAGTACAGAGGGGTTGTGCTTATGTAAGATATCACCTAACAACTGTATCTCAAAAATTGATTATGAGGGGTAGAAAAGGACACTAGCAATAATTACAAGCAATATTGATTGAGATCGCGTCTTCCAAAGGTGTATTTTTTATTTCCAAGAGCAGAACAAAAGAAGAACATGTCAAAAAATGCAAAAGAGTAACTTTGGGGCGTTGCCCGGGATTGAACCGGGGACCTCTTACATGGAGAATTAATCGCGAAGACTAATAAGTCCCTAAGCAAGAATTATACCACTAAACCACAACACCTGATTGATTGGTAGATGTGATTAAAAAAACGTTATATACTATGTTAATTACTACTCCCACCATTATATCTCGTAAATAACCTCACTTTATTACATTTTACTACATTTGAACTCCGAGCTTTCAATTACACAATTGAGTACTCGAATTGTTCATTTTGTTGGGTAAAGCATTCGTACTACTCGAGTACTCGTGTCTAAGCAAATGCATGGACTGGTGGACCCAACCACATTTCAACATCATCTATGTTCACCAGTGGGTGTATGGATTAACGGACACTTCCCAACTATTGATATTTTTAACAAATTTATGCTTCAATTGTTTGTTATCAAAAACTTTACTTTGGTTATTTAATTTCAAATAAATAGTTGCCACAATTGCTAAACTATGAAAGTTGATGCATCAAAATGAATGTGCAAGTCCATTTTTGCACTATCCCGTCAGTTCGTACACCCGCTAGTGGTCCTCTTCATACATCGGACATATTTTCTCAATTCAATTTGAGGTAAATATAAGGTTTCTAATGATTCTCTACACCTCCTACGATTGTACCAACCCCAGCGTATTCAGATTGAGCCATCCTGAGTTTCTTAAGTATCTTTACCGTTGCGCCGTCATCTAAGATCGATCCATCTTCTTGACCTCATTCCAAGATAGCATTTAATGAGAAGTCAAATAAAACACATACAAAATTGATTGATTTTTGATTCTCATCATTACTGATCAGTACAGCAGCTGTTAAGGTAAGTGATTTGCCACTCACTCACTGACATGTAGGTTTTATAGTAGAAGATCCATTGGCGTTGATTACAAAAAATTGGCATGGCATATATTCGACGAGACCGACGTTATGGAAAGCTACATCTGCTTCTGATTTTAACTAGATGAGCATTGTTATAGGTGCCGAATGGTGTCACCTTTACCCATCATGTCATACAAGGTTGTTTCAGCAGGATTGTAACCTTCTCAGCGGGCCAGTGTTTGCAGAAGATATAAGAAATTTGAATTGATAATGAAAGCTTGGAAACTATATTAAGTGCTGCATAACAAGATTATTAACCCTGAAACCAGCCTCTCATCACATCATAAACAGGAATTTTCCTCTCCATCCCCTCATCCACCTGACATAATCATACCTGGGACCGACCGTTACGGGTACTATGAAAGCGTTGAATCATAAGTGGAGACTCAATTGATACGTTGTGGCTTCTCAGTGGAGTTGCGCGACTGCAAATGTAAATTTATGTCTCTCGATTTCTCATCAGATTGATGTGCCGCATCTGGAGGATTTAATAGCGAAGTGATCGAAATTAGCTTCGTGTCAAGAGCCCTTGGCCCGCTGGACGGACCGGCAGTAACAGCTTGTGATACGATGGAGGAACCTGCTTCAACAACTTTCGACTCAGCGTATGGTTCAATGGAAACGATCTTTGCCTCGATTGATTGATTGGCAGCGAAAGTCCTTGAATCAACAACATCCCATTTGAAAGGGTCAAGCGCAGCATTGAGAATTCGGTTAGCTACGACGTCAGCCTCAAGCTGAACTGATAGCTCCATGATGCCCTGACTCCTCAGATGGGACATTGCATCACCGAATTCTGCACCTTTTAGATATTTGGTATTCTCCCATCTATACTGTTAGTATGCTGAACTTGAAAGCGGAATGGGTGTTGACTTACACAGCGTCTGATATATGAGGAAGCAAAAACAACGCGCCTTTGTCAAGAGCCATACAAATTTTGTTGTATCTCGACCCAGTAGCAGCCCAAAGTTGCAGGTTCGCTTTAATAACAGTTTCCTCGTCAGTGATCTTCTCGCACTGTGCGAGGGCCTTGACCAATCGTTGATAGCGATTGTTGTGTAAGTCAGCCAGTGCCAACCTTTTACCCTGCCCTAACAACAATGCCAGCTGGTAAAAGAAGCTAGCGTGGAGCCTCCAAAGGATGGTATCGTGCACTTGTCGCTGACGGAGCCTTCGGACTGCAAGGTATGCTTCGACTGCGATGAACTCGACTGATTGATTGGCATGCGAAATTCCAACGGGATGCCAGAATCGCGAAGGATTCTCCTTCCACAACCAATAGTGATCTTGTATAGTGGGCGGTAGAGCAATATTTTGGATCTCAATGACTGCTGATAATGCTGGGCTTTTCGTCTTCTTTTTCTCGCGTTGGTTGGTCTTGGTGAGCATCTCTCGGGCTGTGCTTTGGAATTCTGAAGGTAGAGATATGAAGATGCTACGAAGAAGGCTAGCGAACTGTGGACAGAGTTAGATTTATCTTCCTTGACTAGAAGCGGCAAACGACATTACGTACCTCTTCATCATGCAACAAAGATTCAATACTCTGGTTTGCATCGTAATTTTTCAGCTGTTGCAAAAAACTGCCAACGGTATGCTTGTTATACGACATGCTTAATTGAGGGAGGAGCCTTGTAAATGCCAAAGAATCAGGGAAAGCGACTGTCTACAGGGCATTAATAGACAATAGAGGATTGTGATTGAAAGAAACCAAAATGGAGTAAATGAAGATAGCTCTTTTGAGGTTTAAGCAAGAAAATTATATGAGGATATCGAAGCAGCGATTGAGATTTTATGGAAGAGATGAAATGCTGAGATTAGAAGAACTTCTAATCTACAGGAAAACAATCATGAGCTGACAACGGGATTGGCTAATCTTCCGAGCTTCTGCGCTTAGCTAAATTCACCCAGTATTCCAGTAGTTTGCAAAAAGGGTTTAGCGACAGTGACAACGCACTGTTCAGGGCCTTGCTGGTAGGTAAATTATTTTCGCTTAGAATCCCAGATGAGTTACAAAAGGAGGTTATCGCATGCATAATTTCTCTTTCAGCTCCTAGGTCACCAAATTATGTTCATTTCTAATCCTAGACGTCTATGAAAAGAATTCGTAGGGGACTGAAGACAGGCTCGAGACAGGACCACGGCAGTCGGTTCTTGCATATTTCCTGGTATGCAATATTCACGAATCAACCTGATTGGTTTCGGTAAAGCAAATTTAGCGCCCGAATTTTCTATCGCCTTTAAATCCTCTGGCTGCATTGGTTCATGTGCTCGCCCCAGGCATGAGAGATGTTTTTGTTCGTGGTGTATGGTAAGAATCAATCTTGGACCGATTTGCCGTTACGTACCAAATGTCATTGGTTATCTGTGATATTTAATGATTGATACCTGTCATCTTCAAATGACCGATATTTATTCCTTAATATATAGTGAGATAAATTGTCCTTAGCGAAAGAATGTGCTTGATAAACTTCGGTTGATGCACGGTAGCCTGAATTCTCAATTAACTTAAGAATCAAATGCCACGGTCCCTTTCTGTACTATTTACTCTAGCATAATACTTATATCTATTCTATATACTTTGAAATAATCATCGGAGTGACCACCATTTTCGACAACGACAAGTCAATAGAGATCTCGAGCAATAGCCCAAATTCAAACCTAGTTTCGTGTGGGTGAAGTCGAATAGCATTAAATGTTACTATGCATATATCTTGGTACGGGGAGCCAAATGATATCTGAAATTTGAGACCAGAGGTACGCAGAGAGAACAAACATACCTACCGCCAGCGAAGAGGGGCGAAAAGTTGTTGAAGCATCTCATCATCCAAGTTCAATCCCGTAGGAATTCTATCACCATCAGGTTTCAAACCTCGAGGGACTAAAACCTCGATTCGAAGTCTCTTTTCTTCGGAAACAGGCATTTGATCCGTAATTAAAAGGCTGATACCTCGTTGCATTCTTGTGTTGCGCAAGGATAAAGAATGGAAGAAGACATTGCTGTCTTCTTTTGAGAAGATCCCGCTTTGCGAACGTCGGCGGGTGTAGATGTGCATGTCGTTGTAAGCACGTCAACGACATTGACAATGTGGGGCTGGCAAATGAAAATCGAGATGGAAGGGGCAGATGAGATAACAGGTAGCGAGGACTGGCTGCAGGTCTGCGAGGAAACCATAATTGCTTATAGGCAAGTTTAAATCTTTTTTTAGATTACAAAGGTGAACAGCTAGGACATACAAACCAAAAACTTTTGGGGGTACCAGAACGCAATGAAATATAACTCTTTCATGAGGCAACACGCCCCTTTCAAGGTAAGATTCGCTTCCAATAAGTCATGATACGCCATCCATAACTTCCTCTCGCATGATGCAGACTGGTTTAAACGTATTCATGGCAACGCACTTGCGCGACTCATAATGCTCCAGGTGTGTTGGACTGAAGTGCACTTCTAACTAGAGCTATTATACTTGTAAAAGCAAAGGATCAGCTGCATCTCAATATTTTAATGGTATTAAGTAGGATTCCAAAAATATCATTGATCTTGATCTTGTTCGTCCACTTTGTAGACTAGTGCTGAGTGGATCAATGCACGATGAGAGACGCTCAGCGATCGACGAGATGTAACAATGGGGCGTCAACAAATTTGAAGGGTGCAGTGGGGAACGGACGAAGCTGTTTGAAATTGTAAGGCTTGGAAGGAAGAGGGAGGGCAAGCTTGTTCTTCTCGGAGCAAAAGGATTAAATAATGTCCGAAGCTATGTTTTTCGCTACGATCGTCCGCAAGTTTGCGTTTGTGATGGGCATCTAAGGCCTCATGCTTCAATTGCGCGCAAAACTCCGAGATAGCACTATATCAAACAACTGTAAAGGTGGTTGTTGAAATCCATAACGACCAGAAGGTCGTCGTGGGCGAATGAAGTCCATTTTGGAATTGAAACCAACGCGTGATGGAGATATTTCAAATGGTTGGTTGCATGCATCCCCCAAGCGGTTTCTGGTCAATAGATGAACTTTCAATAAATTGATTGGCGGTCGTCTTCATCTCGAATGACGAGGGAAGTACATAGTCGGCATCAAAATAAGTCACACAAACAAGAACACTGCGATGTTTTGTAGACATATCGTTCAAAACACAAAATACTTTCCCCGCCAAAGAAGGTCTAGTACGTTGAAGTGGTTTAGTGGGGCGACTTTGAAAGTGGGGCACAATAGTGGTGTAGCACGTGTAGGGAGCTATCATTTTTCTTCGACATGGGGACGGAATAATTATATCGTACTCTGTACCTGCACCTGCCTATTTGGGTAGGAGGTAATTTATCGCATATAATATAAATTATACCAATTATTCACGCGCCCTATTGTTCTATTCTTTCGATTCTATGACAAAAGTGTAATTATGACAAACGGACCGACCATTAGGATTTTGGCTTCTCCGGCTAAAATGAAATGGTTAGCGCCATTAAAATCTCTTTCCTCTGTCGTGATTTGTACCGTGGACTAATTGAACATCGTAGTGGCACCAGTGGGTATTCTCGGGAATATAAAGGCGGCACAGTACGGAGTACTAAATGTCTTGCTAGGTACGGTGTGACTAGTATCACTTCTATCTTCACTTGCTTCCTTCTTCCCAAACCCATTCGTAGGTAATATTTAGTCAAGCACTAAATAACCAGTGACAACATGGTTCACAATGGGGAAGACAATAAGAGTGTCATAATTGAAGCAAGAGACGATGCTCAATTGGTCAGTAATCGCTTTAATACCTCAATCAATCCCGATGATGGTTGACATTCAAACTAATCTTATCTATTCGATCAGGAAACTCTTGGCTACAAACCCGTACGTCAAACCTTTTATCCAAAATGCATCGAACGACTCAAAGACTCACAAAATTGATATAGGTGCTACACCGAACATACACTCTCTTTGAGAACTTCTCAACATCCTTCGCTGCCTTGTATTTCGTTGGAGGTGTAAGAGTTACTTACACCACTGGAATCGCCTCCGGAGGTCCTTTAGCTTATTGGTTAGTTGCGCACCTGAATCTAGAACTCCTCACATGACTTCTAACACGTTTGACTGTATAGGACGAGCTATCTTGTAACATGCTTTTTTACCTTCATTACTGCAGCTGTTATAGCAGAAGTCTGTTCTGCGTCACCCTCAGCTGGTTCCATCTATCTTTGGGCAGCTGAAGCTGGAGGAGCCAAATATGGTCGACTTTTAGGATTTGTTGTTGCCTGGTGGAGTACTACTGCCTGGATGACATTTTGTGCAAGTAAGCTCAACTCTCATTCATTATTCCCCGAAGTTTATTCTAATTACTTGCAGGCAATACCCAAGGAGCTGTCAATTACATGCTTTCGGTAAGTCAACGTTCACGTGATATTCCCACAGCTCGACGAGCGAGTTTTGAATGTTGTCTAACATCTATCAGGAAATCGTTGTCTTCAACGTTGATTTCCCAACGGATACCAGTGATATCAAATTCCGAGCAGTCCAATGGATTTGTACTGAGGTTCTCCTTGCACTAGCCGCAATCGTGAATTTTCTACCACGTGAGTTGTCATACTTAATTGGAACAAATATTGAATATTGACATATGAATCAGCTCGTCTTTTTAAGTATGTCTTCTGGGTATCGAGCTTTTTAGTCATGCTTGATTTCCTTCTTAACCTCATCTGGTTACCAATAGGAGCTGCCCGAACCATCGGTTTCCGAACTGCAGAGGAGGCGTTTATGACAACTTACAATGGAACTGGTGCACCTGCTGGATGGAATTGGTGTTTGTCTTATCTTGCTACTGCTGGTATCCTGATTGGATTTGACGCTTCTGGACACGTTGCCGAAGAAACCAAAAACGCTTCGATCACAGCCGCCAGAGGCATATTCTGGAGTGTGATTGTAAGTGGAGTAGGAGGGTTTGCCACCATCATTCTATTTCTGTTCTGCACACCTGATCCGGATACTTTATTCTCTTACGGCTCGCCTCAACCATTTGTACCTCTCTATGCCGTTGTCTTAGGACAAGGTGGACATGTCTTCATGAACATCATTGCAGTGGTTGCACTTTGGTTCAATACTGCAATTGCTATTGTCGCTGCATCTCGACTTGTCTTTGCAGTGGCTCGTGATGGCGTTCTTCCATTCTCAGGCTGGGTATCACGTGTTTCATCTGAAGGTCAACCCCGGAACGCTGTCCTTGTCATTTGGGGTTGTGCCTCGCTTGTGACTTGCACCATCTTACCTTCTGCAGTTGCATTCACGTCCCTCATATCCGCTGCTGGTGTTCCATCGGCAGCCGCGTATGGACTTATTGCTTTTGGAAGATTTTTCTTGACACCACATACATTTCCAAAGCCAAGATGGAGTTTAGGTAAATGGAGTAGGCCATTTCAATTCATCTCAATCTTTTGGAATGGTTGGGTTGTGGCAATCCTTTTCAGTCCTTACGAATTTCCTGTCACTGCATCTACATTGAATTGTAAGTACCCCTCCATTGTTTCTACAGCTGCTCGTCTCTCCGCCATATACTGATACAACACAGATGCGCCAATAATAATGGCAGGTGTAACAATCTTAGCACTGATTTCCTGGTGGTTCACACCAGTAGGAGCATGGCTTCCCCGAGAACGTATATCACATTTCGTGGAAAGTGAAGGAGCGCCTGCAGAAGGTCTCCGACAAGAACCGGATGAACAACTTCAGGCGCCTGAGGTAGAAGGGGATGCCGTCCCGGCTACCTATTCTGAGAAGTGAGATACTCGATGATCGCTTTGATTTTTTCTTTTTAAGAATTAAGATACTGATCTTCTTTCTGTGTTCTAAAGTGGAGGGCTTTTAGATGGGACCGCGCAGGAGCAAAGAAATCCTTGAAAACATTGATGGGAGAGTATATAGATTGAAAGAACGGCAATCGTTGCAGCATATATCCGAGAATGGTATGATACACATAGAATAATAATACCTAGATCTTTCGACGCCGAATAAGACATGGATTTACGAGATCACTGCCGCTTCACTGATCAAGATTGCAATTCACAATGTGTAATTATTAGCTTTTGAGTCGTTGATGAGATATGGTACACTGAACTGTTGTGAGGTGAAATCTCGCCTTACCGCAACGGGTTTTTAGTCTTTATGTTGCCTGTTGTAATCGGCAACCGCTACCTAGGTTGTAGCTGCACCGCAACGTTCTTTCACAACTTTGTCCAAACAACTCGACCCCGAAGAATGAACCAAGCCTTCCTCACAGCCCACCGCACTTTCCAAATGCACATCCAACCCTAGGGCTGTGTGGGAACAGCAGGACCTGTCCATCCCAACTCCCACGGCTTTACACCAACACGCACACCATTCTCATCAACATTGACGCATCGAGAGCACTTCTCATGTTCGCATTCGCTATTGACTATGAGAATTTTCTGCTCTTTTCCCTGAACGACGCCGATTTTCTGTTCTTCTCTGCCACAAGTTGGCGAGTGAGATGTATGCTGACACTATATGTATTCTTTAGTTTATGCAGATCGCAGGGAAATGCGGAATGTAACGAAAAAATGGGTAAAAAGGAGAAGAGGACACTAACCTGGCAACAGCGGAAGAAAGAAGCAGTAGTGGATTTTTCATCGACGGTTTCATTCTGGGCGCTTGAGTCTTCTGAGGATTTTTCGACAGACTGTTGACGGATGTCGGATGCGCCATCGGATGCGCCATCGAGGAGAATGGTTGTGTCGATGTGGGATTGTCTCTTCTCGGATGCGCGGGCAAATAATCTGGACTCGGAAGCTTCATCGTTGGGCTTTGATTACGTTAGCTATGATTTTGGAAAAAGTGAGAAGAGAAGGTATCGCGCGATGGGTTCTTCCTTCTTTCTTAGGTACTCAAAGTAGATCGACAGAAGTTCGGAGTGACAATGAGAGGACATCCTTAGAATTGTGGATACCAATGAGAGAACATACCATGGTATTGAGTAAATTCAAGATCGAAGGATTGAAAGCACTGGTGGGATTGTTGCTCTCGTAGAGAATCGCTCGATTGCGCATGATGATTGCCGTTACGCTATTCTCAGCAGAGACACCAGTAGCATTGCGAACAGCGGGGACAGAAAATGACGACATGTTGGCAGATTAATTATCGAGGAATACAGTAATGACAAAGATTAGCACCAAAAAACCCTTGTACAGAGATTAATTGATGGAAGAGTGATTGTTCAAAAACAACCTGTGATGGAAAAATGGTGGTTGTGTTTTGAAGAAAGGGGATTTTCGGCTCGAGGTCCTGCTCTTTTATTGGCTGGAATTTTGCTGAGGAAGCTTCAACCGTATTGTTTTATACAATGGTTTTTTTTTGATCTGCTCTTGACTATTTTATTGAACTGGTACAGTGGCAAAGATTAACTGATGATTTCAACAATTCACTATTTGAGCTGAAGGCCTGGTGATTAAAATCATTGAGGCTTTGCACAATCAAAACAGTGGCCATACAAAGGTGTAAATCTCTACTATTTGAATGGCTTGAAGAAAGGATCTGACCTGCAGCATGAAAATCTTCTAACACATTCAGAAACTAGATGCTACCATCTCATTTTTAATTGTTGAATCCTTGGTGAGCTGTCTCTTAGAAGCAGGAATAAGACAATGAAGTAGCCAGCATATTCGACAAGTTGTTTTGATTTTACCATATTTTCTCTTCAACTCGTTTCTATCTTCCAATGAGAGAACTTATAAGCACTGATGTATTTAACTAGATTTTAAACTTCATAGTACTTTGCCCCAAATTCTAATTTTTCCTCTTATCATGAGCTAATAGCTATCACACCCCTGTATTATGTTACAAGGTGAGAGGCTATTTTGCAGTTTGAACAGCATGCTCCTCAGAGAACCGTGAACTTCCATTTAAAAGCGAACTTGAAGATTCTACAGATATTTACTAATATTTCTCAAGATGTTGTAATGGCAAATGGATATCATAATTGCTTAAGATGAGGTCTCGAGGTAAATACTCATGTTATCACATCTGGATTTTAACGAACGCAATGAAGTATTTATAGTGATGATTATCTTGCTATGAATAGCAACAGTCTCTAATTTCACATGAGACTCATACAAAGTCTGAGTATTGTCAGAGGGATCAAGCTGATGTTCATAACGACACCAAGCTTTTCCAAGAAAAAAATACCTGATTGAAGACTTAAGGGATGGAAGAGCTCACTGGACAAGAGAGGTAGATAAATTAATGCACTACAAAGTCAAGAGCATGAAGACTAAAACGGTTTACTCACGGTTGTGGATACCGGATAGATACCTCTTGTATAATGGCACAAAGAGAAGCTTCATTCTAAATGGAACATGTTTTCCATTTACTACCGGTCCAAAACCCATCCAATACCCTTCCAACACCCCTTCCCATCCTCCTTAATGGTTTCATCATTGAGAAGATTCAATAGCGCCAATTTGATCTCTCAAGAGGCACTCTGAGTCAACTCCCATCTCCTGTATTTTCTTTATGTATCTGGATTGCTACCGTTGCTGGCTTCTTTAGCCTGTTTGTTGGAAATGGTGATGCTTTTTGTTTGTGCATCTAACCATTTTGCTTCTGCCTTTATCTTCCGGGTTTCTGCATTGATTTTTCTAATTGATGCTCTCTTCCTCTGAAGTTTAAGATCTAGAAGTTTATCGGCATGTTGTTTCTGTGGTGGCATCTTAGACATCGTGAAGAGTATGTGATGTGGTACTTGTGATTCGAAGTTAGGTTTCCAATGCTTGTTGCTGTCGTGGTGTAATGAAGAAACTGATCTGAATTCTGGTACTGATTTGAACCCATTTTTGACACTCACGTACAGGATAATATACAATAAGCTTCTGCCTTTGTGAGTTATGATATGAAACGCCCAAAGCAAAATAGGAATAATGCAGAACCAGGCAGTATCTCCTAGCAACAAGATATCAGACAATGAAAGAAAATTCTGGAACTGCAATAAGAAAACTTTTGGTTCAATAGGATACCTGCAAAACATCATGCGTGGACTGCTGTAGATGGATGTCAAAGAACTTGATGAAAAAAGATCAAATTTTGCAAGAATGCCCGATTTCTTGGAAGGTCTGGGAACATCCATAGAGCAGGTGCAAATAAGCTCTTGGGCTGTCAATTTACGAGCTGATGATACAGTTCTACTAAAATATGGAGGCTTCAAGATCTTTGGGGCAAGTCCCTGTGTCTAGTTAGATCTGGATATTTATGTCATGACATCCCACAAAGCCTCTGAAAAGCCACAGACCATTCTCACTAAGCATAGCTATTTCCATTGAAGGTAAATATGAAATACGGTCAGAAAAATAACCGCAAGTTGATCGGATTTTCAAACCTTATACATTTCGGGGAGAAACCCGAAGTCCTACTTCCCAACTCTCCGCTTTGAGCTCCAATTTATCTTCTCCGTAATCTATGTAATAATACTCTCATGATGATTGTGAGAGATGAAAAAACTTATGACATACGTGTACCGTAATAATTTAGCTTCATTCGATCTCTTAGTGAAGAAGTTCGCCTCGCACTAGAGTTCGCTTAGTCAAGCAGCTTAGGGAGTCCACCATACTTAGCTTCATTCACACTCACTTTTACCGTGTTCCATCATCGATATTAAGTACACTTTAAAATCTGCGTCATTCATATCTTACGGTACGGATATATATTCTCATATAACTCGCGTCAATTACATTCGATATATCACCATTTCTATTTTCTCATAACGACGCCATACTGAAGCAGAAAATCCGGTGCATCTCGAAATATCCTCTTCCAGAATCTTTAAGAACACATTTGTCCCGCATCATTATTGTACATTAATTTCGAAATCTCGAAACATCAAAACATTGAACACAAACAAAATATCTCCAATGTATCGTTCACAGAAAACTTCCAGGCTTGAGTCGAAGATGGCGCCTCGACCTAGTCCCCTATCTGCCTCATTCTCAGACTCGGAAGGTGACCCCCCACAACGTCAGAAACGCGAAGATATTTCTCCGGAGCTCATAAAAAGTCTCAAGCAAGCTTGTCAGAGCCTCGAGAGACACATGATTGAGGAAGAAGAGAAGAGAATGTGGGCAGCGGTCACAGCAGGAAATTCAATTAACGCGACGAAGCGATGGAGAGGAAGAAGTCCTGCAGGAAGCGAAAGCTCAGAGAAAAGAAGAAAACTTTGAGCCAGTAATTATTTTCACTCATTTTTGTGACATCGAGGATGCGGTTGGCTATATCATATTATCCTACTTCAGGTACCGATATTGTGAACTTTTAGACTACATCTAGGAGGGTGAACCGTTGGAAAAGTCATGAGGATGAGGGACATCTCGCTGTTCTAGTACTCCCAAGAAGTCCAGCATACCATGTCAATTTGCACCTGATTGATCCAATGTAAAAAATTTCCTATGATTTTCAAGGTGCCCAGTGATTTTCATGTACCGGACGACTAGTAAAAGCTTTTATTTAGTTTAGATTACTGGTCATACTATTTAGTAATGACATATGAGTCCGTCTATCACTAAATGTTAGGGTTAAGCTAGAAGGCCAGTAAATTTCTATCCAAACTAAAAATTCCCGTATAAATCTTTTAAATTTCCCCTCTCTCATAATTATCATCGAAAATATTAATTATCTATCCCTTCAATTTCATTATACGACCATATAGCTATCTTTCAATTATCTCACTATTTACAATATCTTATTATCTCATAATTACCTAGCTATATTAGCACCTATCACTGAATCGTTGGAAACAAACGCCTAAAAATGACTTCATATCTCAAAGATTTAAACATTCTTCAAACAGGAAGCTGCAAAAGCACAGAAGTTCATTGCCAGTCATGCCGGGAGGATAAAGTCATCCAAACACTTCAACAGTATTTTGGTTTTCCCTCCGAAGTGGCGTCACAACTACCAAAATGCAGTTGCGAACCCTTTCGAGCTGACAGCCTCAATGCTTTTAAACACTGCATAATTGTATCAATGGACCTCGAGATGAGCAAAGATCAAACTCAGCTCAATGGAATCGGTATCTGTACACTGGATACAAGAGACCTTCAAGATTTTAAGCAAAAGCCGACGTCTGACACGCGTAAACTCCTATCGACATACAGATTTGGATTTCACCGTTAAAAAGCAATCAGCAAAAGATTCCGATATAGCGAAGCCGAATACATGAAAGAAAATAAAGTCAATGATTTGCTTCAGCGGGTCTTACGAACTGGAAGCCCTTTCCCGCAGTCAACAGAAACCCGTCAAGTGATCCTGATAGCTAATGGAATTTTCCATGATTTGTTCAATTTGAAAAAGATGGGATTGCTGTCGGATCTAGGTGACTTCGCAAACATCATCGTAGTTGATACATGTGATATATTTAGGCGTCTTATCAAGGAAGAGACGAGAGCACATCTCTGGGTGATCCTAAAATACTTCCGTATCCCATATTGTTATGATTCTCTTCATCATGGTGGCAATGACGCAAATTTGACTCTAAAAGCTCTTATCATGCTCACTCTAGAGAGCTGCAAGAACTTTAATTGGAATCCGGAGCAAAACCAGAACAGGGCGTTGTTATTGCCTGTTGCTCGTGAGGCAGCTCCCTTTGCCGAATGGCAGTTGCGAAAAACGACGAAGGAAGCAACTATCGCTCAAAAGAAAGCGTTTCGTGAAACGAGATTCAAAATGTGGGCGGACAACGATGATAAAGACGATGACTGTTCCGGATTCCTACTTGAACTCTAGTACATAAATGATCTTGGAGCAATTGTTCGGCAATTTTTACAGTTCACCGCCTGAACTACAACTCATCACTTATGAATTGTGTAGATACATCAAATAATATAGACGATTTGAACCGTTTAAGCAAATATTATGCCCCGAACGTATTGGAAGTTTTTGCAGCTCCATTGTTCTAAACGTCCGTCGAAGAAGGAAGGAGCATACTGGACCCGCAAGCAGCCCCATGCAAGTCACTCTCTACGCGACCAAATATTGTTACGATGTGGATTAGCACTTTCGAATATAGCTTCTTATTCTGAAGTGTCAAGAATTTTGAAAAAAATTGATTGGATGGCACGTGAGGGATTCGAACCCACGAATCTTTTTACAGACCACTGCCCTTCGGTATTGGGAGGAGCTTTGACCGCTTGCTTAACGTGCCTGCTTGTGTTTGTCCTGTTTGATGAATGTATACAGTATATTACACCATATATCAAACAGGTTCCTGCGAAGATGTATACGGATGTCGGAGATTGCTTGTCTCTCAGCTTTGGATGATGGAGGAAGGTACGAGAAGTTCGCTTGCCACATGTGAAGATGATCTCAAAAGAAGGTAGACTTCGGTTGTTAAATCGGAGCTCTATCTCTTATGTCTTTCCCTGAAAGTTAGAAGCATGACTTCTTAGATGGCTCACGCATCAGAGAAAGATGCTGATCTAGTTCGCAATGATACGTTCATGGTGGCCAATGAAAGACAAAATGAAACATTACAATTAATGAAGGAAACTAGTCACTGAGCTCCTCGCCAATGCTCCGGTTTCAGCACAAGAACATGGGATCCGTGGAAGCCATCATATACTGGGCTGGCTTGTGACACAGATGATGTGTACAATATCAAATGTTTCCCAAATTTCGCTTGAAGACAATATATTATTCAGATTCTAAAAATGAGCTTCGGTCTCAACTTCCGGAAGAAATCTCACATGAATATGCCTGTTGGTTTACGTGATGCCTTATGAGATTACAAGCACGATGATTGACATGTATGTCCACTATAACCACAGATCAAAATTTCCCTTGAGTGCTAGTTCTATATGTGTTAGAGAAAATACTGTAGTGCAAATTGTAGGGATCATGTCGCCACGCGACTATGTAGATGACTTCTCCTCCGGCAGAGCGTGACAATTGAATTGTCCAAACAGCTTCAACACCACCGACAGTTACTATCTGGTGTTCAAAATCAATCCACCGAGTCGAAAACTTGGCTGAGATATATGATCATATGTATTCCACAATGATAATTGTAGAGGTGACAGCGATTCCGGAAGAATTAATGGCTTTTATCATGCGAGCATATGGCGAGCCATCCGAGTCTGCTGATATGCCGAAGCTGAACGCTTTCAAGTATATAGGGAAGCCCATGCCAATAGGGGCATCATGGGCATACCTAAAATGTCTATTCCCTATGAGCCATTCAAGTTACTGTTGTGATTCAGGGATAAAATATGTCCGCGATGTGAGATGGTATCGCTCAGAGTTTAACATGGATCTGTGCATACGCCCACAGAATAAATTATTCAAGAATGACGCAGGTTGAGTAAAATATGTACAGAGTATCCCATAAAAGTGAAAAGATCAAGTTTGAATTTGAAATACCTCTCATCTACTTTTTCAATGCCGTCGATGGAGCATATACGCTGCACGTGTACGGCATGAGTAAAAGTCTTTGACACGTCCGCTTCGAGAGAGTGAAGCATTACAATCTCTAGACTTTATATTCCTGGGCTGTGATGATATTCAAACTGGAGTAATACTAGACTCCGAGCACTTTGAAACTAATCAACCATTATGAAATTCGCTTGTTCGACGAGTTTATCACTGACAAGACTTGCACACCCTTACGCCAGAAATGATATCGGTGCAAACAACATTCCACTATGAAAGATAAAACATGAAACACAGGAATAAGCTTACCTGTTCACTGCAGTACGTGCTCGGGACTACACGAAGTGGCCTGTGGAGCCTTGTTCATCTCTCTATAACGCTGCCATGGGCTCGATAGTAATTCGATCTCAAAAGAGTAGAGAGGATTGTGAGAGTATCTGGACGTAAGCTCGTGTATTGAACTGATTAATGCTCTAGCCCGGAGATTTGGGTGACTCTCGCGATTGCGAAACCAAATTTCAGTGTATGAATGTTACTTATCACCGAGTAAAGGTTGCTTTGATACGTATATACGTATGGTTGCAAGACGTAAGAAAAGATAACTGACATGTGAGTATATGAAGCTGGGGAATTCCATCTCTGAGCTCCATAAGAGCTAGGGGATATGTATTCTAGCAGCCCTGTTGCAATATTGTCGTTTCTCGATATGTAGCAATTTATAGTTATGTTTATTGATCCTTCGCGTCTGATCTGTGAAGATACACGCTTGCCGATGATTGACAAAAGCCTAGTGATCGGCGGAACGGCAAGCAAGGGTCGTCACTGGAAGCACAAGGCAGGCTCACACACGTATGTAGTATGGCACCAAACATGCATATGCACATAAAGAGCGCTTGTAACTCGAACTAGTTCATCTACCGAACTCGGGACATGCGTATTATATGGCATCCGAATTGGGAGGATATAGAGCGACCTCTCTTGTGAACGACAGTAGTCCGGATTTTATCCCACTGTTACGTTCTATCCCGCTGCTGCTTACTTGGAGATAACCAGTGAGTTTTCGAGCATCTCGCCTTTGAATACTCTGTTCGATTTGCCAATGGGTGTCAGCAACAACAGCACAGCTCGTATATGGATTCAGGCTGTTTTGTCAGATGAAAATACATACGCTTGATTTTAATTGTTTTCTTAGTGACATTGTTGAATTTTCTCCGCCAGCTGTCTGTTGCAACGGTTGCGACCGAGTATATACACATAGGTACAACTAGTATATACTCAGTCACGGAGTATATAAGTGAAGAAGTCTCATGGTTGAGATTCCGAGTATTAAACGCACAAGTCTGCCAAGTTGTTGGAGTTGGATAAGTATGTAGTATCTGTGTAATGTGATCTTAATCCTGTTTTACCGAATTGTATTGAAGAGGCGAGGGGGGAAGATTTGTGATGCTCAGGCGTTTTTATCGCTACGAGCCTTACCACATTCCAGGGTTCCTAGCGTGTAACCTTATTCACAAATGCTCCAAGCATCTACCACCTCACAAGCCTTCCCAAGCCATCAAATTCATTTCAAAAGTTCATAAAACTGTAATCATTTGCGGATACATTAATACAATCGAAGAAATATTTCCTATTGAAGATAGTATAGCTCTTACTTGATAAAGCTCTTGGCGCATCGATCTCCTTTTAACATCCAAGATGGATTATTCATATTACACTCCGAATGCTCAGCCGTTCTTCCCTCTTCTTCCTCCTACTCCAACTCACACAAACGCATCAACTACCGATGAATTCAGCAACTCTCCGCCTGTATGTGGCCCATCTCCTGTGAGCAGAATGTTCCTGCTAACATCAAACAGCAGGATGTCTTCGATCAATTCCAACCCTATGATTATGCCAATCATTACGACTCACGCATTCCCAAAGTCACAACCCCGCTTTCACAGCACAAACCATCGATCTCCCATCCCATGTACACCGACATGCCTACCGATTCAATCGACGATGCGATGCGACGAGATAGCGATGAGGAGGAGAATTTGACACCGGCACAATCCCGGCGCAAAGCCCAAAATCGCCAAGCGTAAGATCATTTCTTTGAGCTCACTCGTTTTGAAGCTTTACTTTGTACCATAGTATACTAAGACCTGAGAAATCAGACAACGGGCCTTCCGCGAACGCAAAGAGCGACATGTAAAAGAGTTAGAAGCCAAACTTGCAGAGTTCGAAAAAAGTACCGGAGATCTGGCTCAAGAAAACGAGCGATTGAAGCTACAGCTTACAAAAGCTGCGACCGAAAATGAAATATTGAAAGCGACGTCCAGGCATTCGAACCATGGAGGTTCGCAACCTATATCGAATGTAGGGCCCATGAAATATACCCCTACGGACTTCTACAGTGAGGTTCTACATGCGCACGACAATAAATTTCCCAGCCATCGAATTGTAACGAGTGATAAAGGGGAAAGGTTGTTGGCGGCGGGTGCGACGTGGGACTATATCATCAAACATCCGCTGTACAAGCAAGGTCTGGTGGATGTAGGAATTGTTAGTGAAAGGCTGAAGAACGCTGCGAAGTGCGATGGGCAAGGACCAGTTTTCGAGGAGAGCGCAATACTGGATGCAATCGAGAACAGTGTCGCAAGTGGCAGTGATGAATTACTATGATTTATGAGATGGCTTGGAAGAATTTCAAAGGTGTTAAGGTTGATTGTTGGACATATGGGACGAGGTAGACTGCTCAAGACGAGTGAAGGACATCAAGGAGTTCTTATTTGCGTTCCTCTTTGGAGTTTTAGGTGGTAGTAAGTCTTTATGAAATAATTAGAGCGTTTAGTGAACGCTATACAATTTATCTCTCATTCTTAAAGTCGTTCCGCTTTTGGTATTTCTCGGATAGTCACATTTGAATCTTCGAAATGCTCTTCGAATGTTCAGTTTGCATGCCAGATTGACCGATGAAAGACTAGGTTTTTCGCTACTTTATTCTTGTCATATGAGAGTCTCCATATAAGCCAGATCCACGGAGTAATGGAACTAGTCGGCCGCTCACGAAAGCCGAATATTAATGACATGCCCTAAACCTGCATAGAGTTTCCATAATTTGCTTTCATTGTAATAGAAAACCTTCAAGATTCCATGACCCATCATTGAACTGATTCTTTGTTATTGATCAGCAATGGGATTCAATAAAAAGTGATTAAGCGAGTTTATGCAGGAAACTACTAAGTAGTATTCTGTATTAAAGTATTGCCCTCTACAGGGTATAATGAGAAGCATAGACTATAATGAGGGCATTCGGAGGTTGAAGATTGATTGCATTGAGGTGTAATAGCTACGAGGTGAAGAGCTCTGATGCAGGACAGGGCTCTTACTAGTACTAATTGAGGCTAGCTTTACATGAACCATACCTACGTACAATTTTAATTTGGCAAACAGTAAATTCATTAACTCCCAATTCCAAAAAGAACAAAAAATGCCCCGACTCCCTTCTCTTGTATACCCATTTCAACTAGGCTGGTACTCCCTGATATGCTTTATTTACCCCTTTGATTCCTCCGACCCCCCTTCGTACTCGGCCTCTCCCTTGGTGTTACTTGAGGAGCAGGTGCATTACGCTCTTGTTCGACATTTCCATGAATCTCGTTATATTTTTTCTCCTTCTTTTCAATGTCATGTTTCTTGAATTCAATAGGTCCTCTCTTACGCTTGATGTCCACCTTTACCTCTTCCAACTCCAGCACTATTTTTTCCATGTCCCTATAAGTGATACTTTCACGTCTATGTCCTTTAAATCTGTGATAATCTTCGCTCGAAGAGAAGAACATGTCACACTTAAACAGTAAATCGCGTGCCTTATTCTCTAACTTGCTTATACTATTTTCGTTTTGAATCTTTTCAATACGAGCTTTGAGAATATCAAGAGACTGTTCATAAGTGAAATCTCACAATTAATCCCTTGAGTCCACTTGGGTTCCAACGTGTAGCCAACGTTTTGATCGAATTTGACCCAGCAGAATCAACATATGTCCCGAAAATTCTCTTTCCTTGGTCAAATGATCTGGAATCAATCTCTGCCCTTCTACCTTCCTTGAAAGAAAATATCTCAGCAGTTGCATTTTGGCGGAGACTGACTTCCTTGTCACTTTCTCCTAGATACCAATAGATCGTGACTCGTTCCATGTTTGTCTGTCGCGATGATGATGACATTATGATAGAGATGAGTTTTTTATTGTAGACAGCGAGTTGGATTGATGATATGTGTGTACAATGTCGAAATTGTTTGTTGAATATTGAATCACAACAGAGATATAATGAGCTTTATATAGATTTCAAGCGAGATAGTATTCTGGCTATCTACAACTAATGGGTCTTACGTACATCGGAGCGCGAGTGGTCCCGAATTGTCAGTCCCCAGAGCCGACCAAGCAGCAGGCCATGGTCTAGAAAAGAGCTCAAAGAAGATATATTACACGATGCAGCGATAAAATAAGACATGCAGGATTTGTATGAAGGTCATTCATCCTCGGATTCTCATTGTGAACTCCTTAGGGGTCTCGAAAGAGTGACATCCCAGACACATCGTCGCTCAAGGAGAAGTTGTACGAACATTCGTCTAATTCGAGTTTCTCATCTCATCAAACCTTTGCAATTGATTAATTCATTTTATATCACTATTATTTGCATAAAGAGAAAAGTTTGAAGGTATTTTAAAACATATACTCAGTCACTTGTCTTCTTAGAAACTCATATCTGACTTATTTAACCAACCAGAAAATATCAATCAAAAATGCTTCACGGACCACTTGAGGTAACCTTTGACGGGCCTGGGGGAATAGGTTGGGGTTTGTGCTACGTTAAAGAGGCCAATAACCTCTGTTTTCCGACCGCTTCTATTCTGGGCCACTCCTCTACACTAATAACAGCCTTTTCGACTTATTAATAGATTCGCGAAATCAAACCAGACCAAGTTGTACTTCATCGCGTAAAATTCATCTATCTCTATAATAACATCATCTTCATTTTTGTGGGCTCACAACATCTCACTCGTACTGGCACGACTAGCTAGATTCTCAATCACATAAGATAATTATTCTTGAAAGACCATTCGAAATCTCATGGAGGCGATATCCATGGGTTCAACGGGAGCTCGACAATGTATATGCAGCTTTTTATTTTTTTCCATCTAAATGACTGTACACGATCACGAAGTGATGCAATTAATCAAAGGTACATTTTGTTCATTGGATGTACTTAAGCAGTATATATTTCTCATTTCATACAGTTCATCCGTCGTTCACCAAGCTCTTATCCCAAAATTCTCATCAATACATCTCCCCTGGGTCCATATAGAGAATCCACACAGGCTTCATCACTCTCGTAAATTTAAGCACGACCCGTACAAGTAAACCCTGACGTCCCAACCACATTTGTACATTTATACCCTACACCCGCCGTCTTATTCGCATCTACGACGTTGATATTTTCCATGGTGATGTCTGTGCAAGGGACGACAGCGCTACATTGGAAGCTGGTTATGGGATTCGTCATACTGCCGGATATGTTGTACATATTTAGATCGCTTATTTGAACTATAGGGCATTAGTCTGGGGGTATCTGGTAACACGTTTCATAGGAAAATGTGTTGAGAAACTTGAACTAATAGGATTGGGAAAGGAGAAGAGGGAAAGAATGAGGACTGAAGTGCTTACACGCTGACGAAGAGCAATTCCCCACAGTACCAGAGAATGTTGTACATTGTGAAATGGAAAACGGTGGTCCCCTCAATGAATGGAAAGAGAAATTTTCAAAAGTTATGTTTTTTGCAACTGTGCTCATGTTAGAAATATTCTCAAGATCTCCATCGAAAATAATCAAAAATACTTACATCCTAGCCCCCCACCTCCACCATTGGGTGGATATCCCACTTGTTCCCCAGTCCACGTTTTCACATATCCTCCATGCAACGTCTTATAGAATAAAATTCCTGTCGCAGTTACATTCTCAATATTTTCGTATACTCCTTTGTACTGTCCAATGCTGCCTATTGCCACTCCCAACCCGTTGTAGAATGTGGAGTTCGTGATTAATATGTTGGTACTGTTAGCTTTCATAGATATGCTATCGTCACCATTAACAACTGTCCAGCGATCAAAGTGGATATCGTCACTGTAGATCGTATCTGCACCGTCTGTATTGCGCGAGGGGCTACCAGAAGAGGAAGTACTGTTCACGTAGATATCCTGGAGGAGAATTGAGGATGATTTGAAGACTGTCATGGTCCTATTTGATTCGTTAAGTCTTTGAACCGTCATAAAAAAAACGACTGGAATACAACATACCACATCTGACTCTGCACGAATCGTAACCCTTTAAATACGGAATTTGTCGCACTCCATATCGTAAGCGCGTGAGGTCTGTTCGGATAGTTCGAAATTCCTTTCACGAAATCATACCAAGCTTGTCCATTGCCATCCAAAGTCCCGTATCCATATCCGTTGACATTGATGTTATCGCCCCCAAGCCACCATGCTGAAGTTTGGTTTTGATAGCCGAAGGCCATGGAGTGGTTAAGCCAGTAGGTTATATTTGTGGACCACTTCACATGGCAGTTTAGTTGACGTGATAGATATACGGGAAGCATTGAATACATACTAATAGTGTTCCATGGATATCTATATTGCAATTCGAGAGTCCCGTGGTATTCATGATACTGTTGATGGTATATGTGTGATTGAGAAAGACGACAGTTCCATCCTTGCCGCATGTTTTGAATGCAGATAGAATAGCGGGCGCATCGTCCGTACCGTTTAGACTGGGTTGGACAGTACAAGTAGCTCGAGGAATAAGAGCTGACGGATTTCCATTCGTACTACTGGAGAAGAACGAAACAGCCAAAATCGCAAGATGATGAAGCGACCTCATTTTGAGTGATAAATAGCTATCTCAAAGTACAGAAAAAATAATTCATATATGGATCTTGATACAGAGACAATATACCAACTTAAATAGACTAAAAAAATTGGTAAAACGTAATTGTGCATCTTCCCCATCTCCCCATCTCCATTGCATTGTGCGGAGTTGGGGCAACACCATGCAGATTTTGCAAAATAAACTGGGAAATGCAGGCTCAGATTGAACTTCGGATTAAGCTTAACCCAACTGACTTCCTTCGGAGATTTATATAACCTCCGAATTAAGAATGCAGAATAGATTGAATTTAACTATGGCGGATCGAAAGAAGATCGACCTGGGTATTCATCGTCACTACGACCCTAGAATACTGATCTCGCGGTTTCGGCTTCACATGGACCGAGATTTTTAATCCTTTTAGCAGTACTGAATAATTAGCTGTCTAGAAACGGTGACATATTGATATCGAGTCGCTGCTTCTGGTCCTCCGAACTGCGAAGATTAATTTGACAATGCCCGTTGAACGGCAAATTTTTTGGAAGGCGGCATAAGAAACAGTTCAACGGAAAAACTATTTCACGCGAGGGGGGAAACGAAATGCGAGAATGACATGGGTAATTAGGTAGATATTCTGAAGCGAGCCTCGCCTGGCATCTCAGATCGAATTTTAAAATTCGGCACAACTCTGCAGCCACTAGAAAACTTATCTTGGCTAGCCTTTTTCTCAATCTTGATATCAGGATCACGTTGAATTGAGTTTTAATTCTCGGCAGCACAACCGAGTTGGAGAATTGCAGAGGTAAATGGATTAGTTTGTTTAACTCGCTATAGATGGCATATATACAGACCGGATATCATACCCATACGAATACCAACTCAGCCATCCCAACCCTGAACCAGCTCCGACCTGCTAAAACCCCCTACCGTCATGTTCGCATTACATTCGTCGTAAATAGGTATTCTAATTGGCTTTCTTTGCCTCTTCTTCCTCGTTCCATGGATGTTTAATAGTCAGACACCAGATGTCTAAGTAATCGCAAATTGTAACAATCACATCAACCTTACGGTGTTAGCAGATGACAAGAGAGAATTGAGGAACTATTACTCACCACAAAGCTTCCATAAACTCCAATCGCAACACCAAGCATGCAGAAGAGATATGCGACCTGGTATACACCACCACCAAGAGCACTTGGCCATCCAAATCCAAAATTCTCCTTCAAAAATGGTCCTCCAGAGTCAAAGACGCCATAAGCAAGCGGTAGGTTCAATACATTCGTGTAAGGGAACGGCAGTTTGACCAAATGGGCAGTGATCATCTGGCCCACTGAGTAAGCATTGACAAGCCCGGCGAAGAAAACGAAAGGAACAAGATGATTGTAAAGAATTTCAGGGTTAAGATAAAGGTAGGCTGGAATGAGCGACCACGTGAAGAAAAAGGGAACGAGCCCCAAAAGTGCGCCTCGAGACCTGTCCCCACGAGCTCTGCGAGCTTTGATCACATTTATGGAGCTGGAGGGGTCGTTAGCTGTGAGACATTTTAACAAGGGTCAAGGAGGGGTATATTTACCTTTGTACAGTGTTGAGAACCAGCACAATTCCACCTTGAACCATGTACCACTCATTGAATGGCAATTCATAAATGTATTCAGGGATAAACGCGTAATGTGGAATGCCAACAGTCCTGAACATCGATTGAGTCCAGAAGCTCGCCCCACCTTTAATTGCAGTGAATGCGTAGACTGTGATGAGGATGACGATTCCTTCTACAGGTCCAGAGATCAAGCCCAATGTCAAAGTCTTTGTATGATATTCGTCCCAGGTTTGTACGTAGAATGTGAGGAGAGCTATCAATCGTTAGCATATATTGGCAAAAGGTCACAAATTGAGTTCGCACAAGCAAATAAGACCATGACTGTCTTCCAGCCCATTCCCAAGTTCTGCGAAGCCGCAAAAATCAAACATTCGAGGGAAGTATTGACCGCGTCAACACCATGATCGAAGAGCTCTCCAAGGGGTCCGCTCTGATGCGTTCGTCGTCTGTGTTTCCGACGCGCCAGGTCAGCATTTCTCCTTTCGTATCAATTGGAAAAGAATGCAAACATACGCCTGAGTCCCATCGACCGCGTCAAAGGTTTGATACAAGAATAATCCCACAGCCCAACTGGCATACACCCAAGGCGGGCAATCCACATCAAGCGTTGGATTATACCACAACAAAGTCAGGATATTGATAACGACGAAGCTGAAACCCGTAAGAGTAATCAGATTCGGTGCCATGCTCATCGGGAAACATTTTATCACGAAATTCGTGTAAAATGGCTTGAGAACATATCGCGATAAGAGGGAATGGTCGACACCGGAATATTTGTACTGCTTAAGGCCTGGAAGTTTTTCTTGTCGTACGTACACCATTGTGACGAGACCTTGGGTTATTTAGGAGAAGCTTTGAGTAAGGACAAAGTTCATGAGAGAGGTATGAAATACCAGAACGATGTTCTTTTGTTCTTTGTGGTATGTGAAGGAAAATTGAGGCACCTCAAATCAAGAATTCTAAATTCTAGAAAAACGTGCCAAGCCACAAGTTATGCAACGTCATATCAGTACCGAGCTTTTCAGGCACTCTGATAGGGGCAATCAGTAAAGGAACCCGGGGCCACAGAACTAACACGTTGTGCAATGAATTGCAGAATTTTCTTTCAAAATACTAATAATGCAAGGTGAATGTTTAAGTGAATCATGTTGATTCAAATTACAGATTTGATTGCAGATTAACTCAGATGAGAGCAATAATACCGCACAATTGAACATTAGACTAGGTACCTCTCCACCGGTTCATCTGGAGAACCACAAGAACTATGAAAACACGAACATGTCAAATTTTATTAATTGTGATACATTTCATATTTTTGACTCGATGATTCATGCTGTATCCTTCATCTTCCATGAGATGAAGCCAATCCATTTTTCCACAGCGTCTTATACCCATTATCTAAACAACAATCATCAAATGCACCCAACTTTCAACTCCATGAAATCGCTAACCCCTAAGCAACAGACCCAATAACCAAAGCTGCAATCCCCTCTTCCTCACCACGAACCACAATTTTACTTGTGACTCCTGACTTACTTGAATAAGCCATCCGGATATTAGCCACAACTCTTCCACCTGTAACTGTTTTACCAAATAGTTTGAGTGTGTGGGTAGTTGTATTGATTGGCACATCAGTGCCATCAAGGGGTTGTAGTGAAAGTGTTTTGGTAAGTTGTTCAGTAGCATCTGTAAAATCATTAGCTTTTCAGTCAAACTTATTCTCCGGAAAGAAAACACACCTGCTATGCTCTTGACACCACTCAATTGAAGCGTCTCTTCAGCTTCCTCGCCGGAAGCACCCACTTGCTCCCAAATATGATTGAAGTTACCGGCAAAAGCAGGGACAACATAGTCACTACCAGTAAGTTCCAGATCCTCGACTTGATACTCATCATCGTAACCAGTGTCTTCAGGCTCACCAGTTGTTGGGTCGATTTCTTTCGTGGTGAACTTCAGAACGTTTGTGAAGGTGCTTGAAGGGAAAGCAGCTTCGCCACTGATTTTCTTGAAAGATACATAAATAGTACCTGGCTCATCAGTTACAAGCTTGGTGGCAGGAATGATGAAATCTTCCTCGAGCTCTTCTTCATCAGATGGGCTAGCAACCACGGATACTTCTTCAAGAACCGTATCTGGCAGGGTATTCTTAACCTCATACTGAAGAACAATATGTTCCTTGAAAATATGCTTGACGACAGTAACAACGTATTCGGTTTCCGATTCTGTTAATTCAACAATAGCAGACGATTTCAATACAGCACCGTATGGCTTGAATTCTGGAATCTTGAGTAACTCCTGGGCATACTTCTGAGCAGCTGCAGAAGCGGAAGCAACAGCTTCGGCGCCAGATTGCGAAGTCTTGCTGGGACCAGATTTTGGAGCCTTGATGGTTGGTGTGACTGTTGTGAGCTTCTTGGTTCGCTCCTCTGCGTCTGCTTGCTCCTTGGTAACCACTGGAACCGAAGCAATATCGAAGGGGTTATCGAAGGTTGATTTGTCATCAGCTGTGACGTACATAACAAGTTGATGCTCGAGGTACGGCAAGGCGAAAGTGTTTTCTGTATATGGTTAGAGCGGTGCAGGGGAAGTAATAATTATCAAAACCTACCATTTTTGATGAAACGATCCGCTGTATCGTCAGACTCCGACATTAATCTCAAGTTCAATGCAGCACGGTCACGAACTTCATCGTCGACATCATCCAAGCATCTCGTCAGGAGGACGGTAACACTGCGCTTAACTTCTGGATCTTTCTGTGCCACACCGAATTTTGCCAGTGCTGTGACTGCGGCAGCTCGTACAATAGCATTTTCAAGAACCACTCGATTGTAGATATATCTGATGTACTTGGTAGGTTGAGATGTTTTTGGACCTTCCAATCCGAGAAGATGAAGGATGCGCACAGCCAACTTAGTGAACTCACAATCCTCAATGAACTCACATAGATGTGCCAACGCATCTTCCTTTGAATCAGGAACAAACTTGATTAAGTCAAACATGCTCTCAACTACAGCGCGCTTAAACTCATATCCTCCCTCATCGCGAAGTATACCACTGAGGAATGCTAACATGCCAGCCTGCTTGTTGGGAAACTTTAGACAGAGGGTACGGATGGCTTCCACAATGGTGATCTTGAACTCGTCTGTAATGTCAGCCATGAATCCTGAAATTTGCTTCATCAATCGATCAACACTGGCTTCGTTGCCGGTCTTCAAAAGGGTGGTGATAGCAAAGGTAGCAATTGATCTATTGGAGTTCGAGATGAGAAGTTCGATATCTGGGTTGCAAGGATGAACAGCTTGGGGCTTGAAGGAGGCGAAGTTGTGAAGTATGCGAATCGCAGCAAACTTAGTAACAGCTCTTGGCGAGGTAAGGAAAAGTTGCAAAACGTGAATGGCTTGAGTAACTTCAGCATCGGTGACGTCTCGCATGTCGCAAATGGCTTTGGCAGCCTCGAAGTTCACCATTTCACTCTTGTGTCGGAGCCAGCCATCCAAGAGCTGCATCATTGGTTTTCGGAGTTGTTGATCTTCTTCTGCCAGTTGTGCTGCTAGGCGGACGAGCATGACAGTTGCAGCCGGACTCTTAACAGCACCTGCGGCCCCAAATTGTTGAACCATCTTAACTAATGCCATTCTATCGTGCATCCTCATTTGATACAGAAGACCAATCGCATGGTATTGTGTCATTGTTGAGTTGTTGACTGGCATTTGGCTGCTGGATGTCGAGAAACCAAGGGAGAAGCCACCCGACGATTTTGTAGCTGTTGCAGCTTCTTGTGTTTCGCTTTGCCATCTTCGAACAACGTCGCGAGCTATAGGTAATAAGTGGTAAGAGGATATTAAAGCGGCAGATGATACGGAAGGGTTCTTGTCGACAATTGCGGTCTTCATTACTCGTTCAATACTCTGGACTGTGGAGGCCTGGCTGTGTCAATGATATCCCTTGAAATAATCCGGCGCACTCACATCAATGATACGGCACAACGCCCGAATGGCGTTTGGTCTGTAGATTGCATCTGTTCCACCACCAGTATCCTTCATTATTGTACTTGTGACCATAATAATATCCTCGGCGGAATGCGCCAATTCCTTAATGATAAGGTGAACCATCTGGCGCAGGCTGGCATCTTTGTTTTGGAACAGCTTCGAGATACCAAAGAAAAGGGTAGTGGCTTCGTTGGTAGGAAATTTCTCGCCGGTGTATAATAAAAGCGCAATCTTTGTAAGGAGAACACGACATCTTCGAGGTTGTATAGGGGAAGAGTTGAACAATCGAGCTTTGAATGTTAGCTTAGCTGGCCTGTTATTGGGAATGTTCACCGACCTTCTTGGAAAACAGAGGTTCTATCCACACGCATGATGGCCATTTCGCCATCTTCATCTTTCTTACTGTAACTCATGATGTGCAAGGTATGCTCCCCAGCGTCATGAATTGAGAATCAAAAGAAAGTCGAGTATTGCTGCAATTGTGGTCTTTGAGGTTGCGATACGTCGCCAAATCCACTATGTGTTGGCGTGAAGGAAATAATTTGATAGGGGTGAGTATAGACGTTTCATCGGTGTAAAAGGAACGGCGTTTGCCGAGAATGTCACTTTCTTGGATAATTCCGCCCCGCTCGCTACTCTACCGCGGGCTGGATTCTGTTACGCAGAGGAAGCTCAAGGGAATCTTGGTAGTAAATGTCATGAAGAGAAACCCAAAAACAGAATATCAAGAAACGAATTGCTTTCGAATAACGGGGAACCATCATCTCTGAAGTGTTTTTCTCATCATTCCTGGAAGAAGGTCTCAATCCTCGAACTTGGGAACTCTCAAGCACTGAATTGCAAAGCAAGATATCACTACACGTTCAACCAAGGCAACATCAACAGTACCAAAACAACGAAAATTAAAGAATATCCCAATCAGTGAATATCAATTAGTCTGTAAGGAATGAAACAGGCAGGAGAAAAAAGTGAAGCTCAATACGGGTAAGTTACCCTTCTCATATTCATGGGAGTTTGAAGGCTCGGCCTTGTGACATTATATGGGCGACTTCCCCAAAAGTGCTTCGCAAGTGAGAAGCATCGGTCAAACTCCTAATACTCAATCGAGTGAATGAAGCAAAGACTTGTCTTCCCCAGACTTATCAGATAAAAAAATCTGTGTTGGTGTGAGTCTCGATTGAAAGCCTGCAAAGCCACGGCATTTTGACCCTGATTTTCACCCTTTTTTTTGGTAGTTCTATGCCACAACATTGAACTTCCTCCGTCATGAGAGAAGATCACAAATGATAGTTTGACATTGTGAGTTCACTTGTGCATCATACATGTCACTTTTTAACTTTTTAATTGTTGAAATGTCAATTAATTCTGTCTTCAGACGAGTATCATTTTCCGGGTAGCTGAACAATGTCCCTGGTGAGCTACCAGTTGAATTTCCCTTGATTTCCCCAACTATATATCCACAAATATTTTAGCCTACGTTCAAGCACTCTAAGTCCTATTATTAAATCGATCTTTGTACATTACTTTACGGTATTGTTTCGGCTCATTTCTTTCACATATATGTCACTGCATTCCATTCATGACCCGCACATGGCGCAAGAGAGCTCAGCACTATGAATTCAATGGAGATTGCAAATTTCGATTATTTTGACTGGCGGCGAACTCACGCATTACACATTGAACACATCTAAAGGTTCTGCCTTGAATTTTGGGAGTAGAGTTGGAGAGTACATATAGATTCAGAAAGGAGTTGGCAAGAAGGGGAGCGAATACAATCGAGAGGTGGGGTCTGCTTCATGGACGCGGTATTACTCTGCAAGTTTCGCCTAGTTAGAGCGGTAGCTTGCACTTGCACAAAATACGAAGATATCCATAATGGTAACGAATTTTCTTGCTTTTGAATTCTTTATATATTCATCTATCTCATCTATGTAAAGTGAGGTGGCTGGCTATTGCCAGTCCTTATTGGTATCTCATCCATCGCCTTCAAATGATGGTTTTGCACATCATACAAAGCAAAATGCAACCGAAACTCCTCCCGCAATGCATGTTTGTTTTTGGAATGTTCGCTCGCTTTTCAATGCTAAAACAGAACCCATCCGTCCCCATGTCTCAAAGAAGATATGCCGAGCCCACAACAATGCAAAATGAGCAACTAGCAGAAACGAAATGATTACAAGGCTGAATGCCAACCTTCCTGCTCTAAAGCCCATTTAACAGCTTCATAGACATCCCCGACGATTGCCTTTGGCTTGTGGGCAGGAACTGTACCACTTCTATAGACACCGGTCTTGACCAGAACGGAGGTCCAGTCTGTGCCGTGAGAGGATTCAAATTCGTTGGCACCACGAATATCCGATTCTGGATTATCACCGACCATGAATACACGCTTCAGTTGTGGGACCTTTCGCTTGGATTCGCCACTGCCACCGAGCATGTGTGTAGGATATTTGTGGAGTACACGCTCAGCATACTTGTATGTCGCTGGATGTGGTTTACCAATGACAGTGCGTTCTAACTTCGCTCCACTGGTAGTAGCATTCCAAACGCCTTCGAGGGATGCCTGGAAACCACCTTGGCCAAGACGAGGCATGTGATGATTGGTTGCCCAGAAAAGATCTGGATTTGAGAAGAACAGTTTTGGTTGTTCATCTTGTTGCCAACCGCTGTTGGGTAGTGAAGCGTCGCCGTTCTTAGAAGAATAAGTACCAAGAATACCCTTTTCGGACAAGAGAAGATCAAGTACGACTTGAGTATCTAAGGCCCAGTCACGAGGATCGTTGAAGATCATAATAGCATCAAACTTGAGAGATTCGGAAAGGTTGTGTAGATCAACTGGTCTGGGAAGAGGGCGTGTAGCCTTGCTATAATACTCGCTAAAGATTTGGTTGAAGGGCCAGATAGTAGGATAAGCCATAAGGATGTCGCCAGGTGTGACGACCTTGGTAAAGCCATACCTGTGTATTCAGGGTTAGCTTCGTCTCCTGGAGATATTTGGTTTTACATCAGGTTCGATGTCTCAAACTCAGATGAATTACACATGTGAGATTATCTTGTGAAACAAAACAGCCTACTGAGGGGAAGGAAAAAAAAGAGGGACTAACATTTCTGCAACCTTGCGACATTTATCTCCATCTCCACCAGTGACAAGAACTGTCTTATCCCTAAGACTCTCAGTTGTACCCGACTCCTCAACAAGTTGTTTGAATGGTGTGTGTGATTGAACAAAGTTCTCTTCAGTAAGAGGAACATTGAGCTTTTTGCTCAACTCTGCGACACGAGCACTTTCATGTTTGCCTCCTCCATTGGTCAATAAGATGAAAGGGATGTTGTTTGAATGAAGTAAATTCAAAGCTTCGGATGCTCCAGGGATTGGCGAAGAAGATCGAAGCAAGACACCATCAATGCTAAAACCAGTTAGATTGAGAACTAATTGTATGATAATGGTTAAAATACATACTCAAAAGCAAAAGCAAATCCTGGTAAGAGGTTTGCAGTTACAGGAGTTGCAGTGCTGGACCGACGTTGGTGAGTAACAGGAGCCATTGCAGCTTTTGTCGATCGTTTGGGGGAGCAAGAAGTGGCAGAAAAAGAGAAAGAAGTCGATGGCAATCGAGAAAAATATATAGATCTTTGTTGGGTATAAGCTGGCTTAGCAGGGTTCGAGATAAAGCTGGTTATCCTATTCACAGACTTCCCTCTTTTCAACATTATCGGATTCAACAACTGGTAGCGCCGGGAGTTCACGGAAACCTTGTGGGATACCTGGGCGATAAGGGACATTTTTAGTATTTGTATGTGGGTGCTACAGTTCAACGAATCTTTGGATGAGAGTGAGGCACATGTGAAGGGTGTGAAGAGTAAAGGGTGAAGCGCGTACGAAGTGAATGAGTTGGAGTGTGGAGATATATTTTTTGGTGTTTATCTCTAAGTGGTCAAAGCTTCATTTTCAGGGGTCCCCGCCGAGCATCCTTACCAATTCTTGAAATTCTAGCTAGCCTGCTCTCGTCGAACAATTTGGTAGGTACGATTATTTACCTACCTGGTACTCTATGTAAAGTATTGATCATTCATTTCTGGAATGATATGCAATACTGAAAAGAAAGGGTTCCTAATTTTTGGAACATATGACACATGTGGAACTACTGGTTATATTCAGAAGATAGAACTATTCGAAATACTCGAAAGCTTCATGCAAAGAGGTCTCGACCAATCCTTGCGCCTACAAAAGCTGTACTATTTACCTGGTAATCTAGCTGTCCAGCATGGCCGGTTAGGCCAAAAATAAGACCAAGATTTCCAACGTTACCCTTCCCTCGGATCTACTAATTTACCCTATCTCTGGTAGGGTTGATACTACTGTGTGACGCACACACAAGTAGGGCAGGTAGCTTTCTCCCCAGTCACACATCGTCTGACGTGCTGGTGCCAACACATATCATTTCGAGATCTCCAGATCCATCACATTTCCGAGGACAGCCCTTGAAGAAGACTGTTTAGGGGATTAGACTGGGGAAGATATGTACCCCAGCTCAAGGTTGGGATCCATGGATGAGAGGACTATCGAGGCATCTGATGAAAGGTTAAAGGGATCGGAATGAGCCGTACCATATCTCTGAGTCTGATTCCATTATCTCACATATCTTTTGAGTTGGTTACTCGTTGGATACTCTATCTTCAGGATCCACTCCTTCATGGCTGTGTATGCCTATGCGTATCTACAACATGAGGCTGAATCCCGCTTAATTCGAATAATCTCTCCTTACCAAATATGATATTGGATACATTTCTAACACTTTACTACAGAGGATTTGAATTTTGTTTGACATACGTACTTAAGAAGGGAATCAATTATCGTTTCAACAAAAGCACTCGCCTGAGCTACTGTGAAGCGCGGACTACCTACATTCCCTCCTTCATCACTTCCATTGCTTATGTAATCACAAAACCACTAAACGCGATAATTCGCGGTCGATCGCACTTCCCAACCGGTTTCATGAATGGATTCAATTGAATAGAATACCAAATCCCTGAAAGTCATTTTGCATGAGCCCCTCTTTCATTTCACAAAACCGTTGCACAATTCTCAACCTCTCATTCCTGATCAAGATCAATTGTCGTCATCATCGTATCAGTTGCTCTTGTGTTTCTTTCATCAATATTCATCTCATTGTAGAACATTCATTTAACGACCGTCACTTCAAAAATTAAGTTCGGATACCTCTGTGCTTTGTCCTCAATTTTGATACCGTAACTCCTTTCGACTTATCACAACAAACTCAATACCATCTTACTGTTTACTGGACCTCAACCTCATTAAACGGGGAAACATCGACCTAATACTCAACTTCTCATACCATCTCATCCATCAATAATAATATCATCATGTCCACTCGCCAAGCCAAACGCCCCTACGCCGGCTCTCAATCTCAAATTACCTCCTATTTCACTCCCGGCACTACATCTCTTCCTGTGCCTCCTACTCCCTCTCAATATCAACCACCTACTCTCCCAAATCCAATCCAATCCTCCCTCTTATCCGTCGGCATGCGTATTCGCAAATCCGTTCCCGAAGGATACAAAACCGGTTCTTATTCCGCCTTCAACCTATTCTCAGACACCACACCTGCCACAAAATCAAACTTCGCATCAGTACCCCCCTCTTCAACACCCGCAGCACCGAAACACAAAGGAACAAGACCTCGTGCTGGAATTAGGGAATTGACGCCGTTCTGCGGTTTGATGAAGGTTGGGGGAATGAGCGTACAAGGATACAATGAATCCGGAGAAGCAATCGAAGATGAAGATGAGGAGGACTACGAAGGAAGAATTTGGGATAGCAGTCAAGAGAGCATGCTGAGTAATGACAGTGTCGGAAGCTACGGGGGTGGTAATGGCGCCAAGAGGCGATTTGTTGACGAAGAAGAGGGCGGAAATGTATTTGGACAGGGCGGAAATGGAGAAAGAGCTTTGATGGATGTTGGAGATAGAAGAATTGCGATGCCCAGGTCCAGGAAGAGTGAGAAGGGTAGAGGAAGTGACATGAGGAGGTTTGGTGGAGATGAGAATGCGGATGTGGATTTTGAAGAAGCGGACTTTTTGGATTATGATTTAGCCGACGAAGTTCAAATGGGCGGTGTTTAAGAGGTGCCAATAAATGATGTATGATCAGTGGCTTCGGGCAATCTTTGTATGTTATGGGAGGTGGGATCTGTATTATGGGTATCAATGGTTCGGAATGAGCTGTGTGTCGATTGCATACATTTGGACGGCGTTTTTGGAGAAATTATTTGAGCATGATTGCATAGCCTGGACGCCGCAATATCTGGAAAGGCTGCTAGCATTCCATGGGGTTTTGTATATCATACAAAACTTCCTGTATTCACATTTATTTCTACATAATTAATTAGTGATCACATGAATCATTGGTTGTATGGAACGCATGAATGTGAAAATAATAATGGAATTATATTGAGCTCATGAGAAGCAAGCTGATTCGCCTCATCTGCATCTAAAGAAATATTACTTGCCGCAAAACCTACTACAAAGATACTTACAGCCATGCATGACACTTCAGACTAAAGTGAGAGAATAATGCAATTATTAAGCTCTACTTGTCTGCAACACCTAGTGAAACGAGTTTGACGCATTTCTGCTAAATAGTTTTTTGACTCCCAAATGATTCAAATGTTGTTATCAGGCAGCTCGAGGGAGTCCTACTCACCCCATACTTCCCTAAACTCCAGCAGATCTCTCTGTCCGTACATCTCACCTGCAATCGTGATAATCATGTCAACTGTCGCTCTGGTATTCCAATCAGGTGGTTGCTCTGGTGTGAGCGCCGACGCTTCAGTTGTGGAATTGGAAGGTTCTTCTGCTTCGAGAGGCTGAGAATCTGCGATTGCTGTGGGACCAACATGCAGATTTGAAGCGATATTAGCGAGTAAGCGGGCTTTGAGCGCTTCTAGTTCATGGGCATCTGGCGTTGCTCCCAAAGTGTCTTCTTCCGGACTAGTAGGCTTTGTTGTTGTCGTTGATAGGATGGATTTGTCCGTCGAGTCTAATATCAGCGAGGCATTACTGCTGTTCTGTGTTACCTGAAGCTCCACTTCCGGCTGGTTTTCAATCCTCTCTGTGTTCCGATCTTTGGAGCTAGTGGCATTTTCATCATCCGCACTTTCGATCTCATTATCGGCCTCGAATACCTTCTCCACCTCATCCAAGCCCTCTTTCAAGTCACTACCCGCCTTTAATCCAACACCGAGCATCACAGCTTTTTTCCCTAGTTCCCTTACAACTCCTATCTCATCACTACTCAATTCGCCTCTTACCGGTAGCCTAGCTAGCAATGCCCAGATCCACATACTGACCTTCAAATTGATATCAGAGCCACTTTGCAACAACGTGCCAGTCAACAGGAGCCTCAGTAGTCTCAAAACTGTTTCCTTATCCATAATTGCTATCTGCACAGGCAGCGGGTCAACCGTCTTCATTTTCCATCTCCACCACCTGCAGAGCTTGGTGTTCAATACTTTTAAATATGTGGGATGATCTGCGTCTAGATTTTTCACTAGGTCTGTTGGAGGAACTTGGTGAAGTTTGTCTCGTAGAGTTTCGAATCGCGTCAAGATAGAGTTGAAATACGCCGATCGAGGATCTTGGCCTTTATGTTCCTCATCCTCTGTTTCGTCTTCAACTTCGGCCGTTGCATAATAAGCACCATCCGCATAATATCCTCTGAAATCGCCCACGCCACTCTCATATATCGATCGATCGTACTCGCCGTTGTTGTTAGAGCTCGCAGTCTCTGCGGGGGCGTAAAATATTGGTGGGAGGTCTTCTGCTTCGGCTCTGGACTTGCAATCAGCAATAATTCCAACTAAATATAATACATGATACAACACCATCGCATGTTCGTGCATGCAAAAGTTGAAATTGATAAGCAGTGTACTCACCTAACAGATCTCAAATAATTCAGAGCATCTATACCGTCCTCGTCTAAGCTGAGAGAATCATCATCTGCTGGAAGCGCACTTCGCTGTCCATAGATTGGATCTACGCGCGCTTCTATCACGGAATTTGATTTCTTGTTCGAGTAGAGGTAAGAACTTGGAGGTGAAGGTGAACGAGCGCGCTTCGTACTGGCCATGGTCTCCAGCAGTTGTCTCTCTCAATTCCGTCTCGCAAGTACGCGCCTGACCCAGATCTCTTCAATCGTCCTTCCAAAATCCGCGAGGAGGGACGCTTCAGTCTCCAGATCATGAAGTCTCCCTGTTTCCGAAATATGCACTTGAACGAATGGTGGTTCTCTTGCAGATTCGAAGCTCGATATGTTTCGTTCCTATATCAATATATAAAGGTAAGCAAATTATGGTTGGAGCAACACAGACAAATTATTGAGCCTCGGGGTCCAAGCTTCTTCGACGGCCAGGAGCCAGTAGGTGCATGGATTGACGGGACACGTCCTCGAGACTTCCCAACTTTCGATTTTTTTAATAAATTTATCATTCAATTGTTTGATATTAGAATTCACGTTTCGATTGTTCTATCTTTAGTCAACATTGTAAAAATTACTAGAATAAGCGATTTTTTTGATCTGTCAAGAGATATTTTCAAGTCCATTTTTGCAGTGCCCTGTCAATCTGTATATCTACTGGTGGATTTTGCCGTCTCGAGTATAGCATAACCCAAAGGGAAGATAGCACTTCTTGTCGCTAAACTGTTTCCTTTTCGTATTGCCGGATTCGTACAGCTGTACTCGAGTAGAGACTGGAGGATACGTGATATTTTTTCCATAATAAATCTCATAAGTCTACAATGGAACTTTGGTAACGTCTGCTATTACAGACATTAGTGCAGCTAGCTTCGCTTCTTGAAGATCTTTCCCGTGTCTTTTATCACTGGCATTCAAAAAGGAGACTTTCCCAAGTACAACTATGAGATTGAGATGTTCATCCATAGGGTTGGTGTTGGAAATTCGAGTTTGATATCAGATGACGTTATTGTCGTCAAATTACCCTCAAGCGATAAGGCTGACTAATCCTCCGAAATAAAGCCTTCCATCTTGTGGCGAGGCTATCTTCAAATCAGAACCTTGGAAGCATCAATATACCATCATGTACATTACGAATTCTTTTTCTTGCTTCCATTACAATGAGTCCTCTCTGGTTCATTGATAGATTGGCAAATTCTTTCTTCGAGCCGTGAATATTCTCAGAACAAAAATAGCACTGTATGATTAAAAGGCCGGACAACTGAGGAACCATTGAAGCATTTTCGACATCGAACACTACATAATGGCTCTCGACGCACAGAGTAATTGGAACGTGGAGATGTCACAGCCTCTTAAGTTGTCCATTAGGTCACAAAACCCAGAGCCTATGCCGGCTTCCAAATCAATGGCAGAGCTTTATCGTAAAGCTCCCGCGCAAGAGATCCTTCTCCCGATGGAGATCATTTCTCAGATCCTCTCGTATATTCCCAATCGCGTGGACACCCAATACACTTTCTACTCCTGCGCATTGGTGTCTAGGCTCTGGTATTCGGCATCCATCTCTATTCTGTATGAGCGACCATATCTTAGTGGCTCAAACTTCAATAGCTTTGTTGCCACTGTTTGCCCCTCTAAAAATGCACATATACGGCAATCCGCGCTTGCACCTCTGGTTCGCCGGCTTGATATGGGAGGACTGGTGCACAATAGTTCCAGGAGCTTGACTGCACGACTACTAGGCCGATTAAAGGGGAATCTTGTTGAATTTGTGGCACCACAAGCCTCTTTCGCTATCAATTCCTTCCCCGCTCTCAGCAAATGTACCCACCTACGATACCTGGATCTCTCCTTGATCTCCGCTTCGATATCGACCCGCTTACTTTTTCAGACTCTGAAGACACTGCAAGAACTCGAAACATTACTTTTCCCGCGGACTTCCAACAGTGACCAAGACAGAATTGACGAGGTACATGAGTGGCCACCGAAGCTACAAGGTCTCCATTTAGCAGGGGGAGTCGATGACCACTTTCTTCGGACTCATCTTCGCCATGTCCCACCGACACTTTCACGTTTCAGTATTCAACACTGCAGTATGGTATATGGACCTGCACTTCTTGAGACTCTGGAGCACCTGGGACCTCAACTGCAGCATCTGACAATCCGACACCCGATGAATCGCATGGGTGTTGGGGCCTTGGACTACGTCCTTTTGATGTGCTCCTCCTTAACTGCTTTCCGAATATCTGCCGATTTCATTACAGATGCATTGTTTGAGAATATATCCGTCGGCCACCCCTTGCGAATTTTGGATCTAGATTGTAGCGGCACAGCAGGCACAGAGGTTGACATTACTGCAGGGGCAGTTTATGATGCAGTGGAAGAGGCGAGATTGCCATTTTTGAGAAGCGTAAGGGTGAGCTCCAGGCTCGCTTGGAATGCAACGCAGAGTGGAAGGCAGGACATAATCGATTGTAAGTCCCCATTTACTTTTAATTTGTAACTTCGTATGGAGGCCAGCACTAATACGCCTTGCAGTGGTAGAAACAATGGAGGATCTCGAAAACGAGACTCCACTTGGAATAGAGCCAATAGGTGTTTGGTTCTCAACGGATTGATGGGCTAGGTGGTAATTTTCATCGGCCCATATTCGAACCTGGTACAGGCAGTCAAGCACCACAATAAGGTATTTCGTCGTACCTAGGACACGACTTCCAATATCTTAAACCAGTCTAGCAAGTTGCTTACAAAAGGTTTTGGATCGTAACATTTCATTGAATACTTTCTGTGTCTCCTGGATACCTTGTATCATAAGTGTGTCACAAAATGTTAAACCATGCTCGACTGAGTTATGTGGCTTACAATAGATGTGGTATATGATGCCCCTTAAAACTTCCATCGACTTACTCCTTATTTGGATGATACGATTGAAAGTATTGTTTTCCCGAGGAACAAATGGCCAATATTTCTACCCTCTGAATTTGGGGTGCATGCTACAATCAAGAAAATGTATGTATAGTATTTTGCACTTGGACGCCACTCTCAAGTGATGTTCAGATACTATAACAGCGAGCGATAGCAATCTTTGGGGCAACTTGGGGTATTGACAGAGTTTTCACAAGGTATAGTCTAGCGAGATGGCCGTTGAGACAAAACACGAGCTATATTCTGCAAAGCTATATTCTGGTCATATATCTTGTCATGTCAATTCATTTCCCTCGTATCCCTTTTCAGCCTGTCAAACTCACCCACATCAATATTCATTTACAAATAGAACATCCCGCATATTATTCCCAAATTTTCGTGTGATGACCTCCCGTCTCGTTGCAGGAGCCAAATAAAGTCATGGTGCATTCATATCATCACAGGACATTGAATGTTTCAGTATCCCACAAGTTTCTTCTTCGCGGCGCGCAATATAGCTACACTCTGATCCCAAACATTATCTGGTCCAGGAGCTTCTGTGTACTCTGTATCTGCAACACGTTCAAGTTCGACCTCCCACATTCGCTTTTGGTAGGCCTCGAGAATCCTGTTTCAGTATTAGCAAAATTGCGTTTAGTCAATTGAATGAATTTACAAACGTACTCCTTCTCGAGAGCTTCTTCTCTGACTCCTAGTACGAAATATGGATCCTCGACGTACACCTCTTCAGTGTCTTGTCCCTTTGAAGGCACGTTTGAAAGTGGTTGTTGAAGAGCGACAACACTATGGATAAAGCCACCCTTCTCGATCTCTTGCAGGGGTGCATCTGCCGACACTGCACCAAATGGGACTTGCGAAATCGAAAATGAGTTGAGGTTGGCTATATTGGAAGAATCCAAGACCCCGATGCTCTGCTGCATGTTCTGCTCCAGTGGTTGCTTTCGGCTGACAGACAAGCCTTGATTATGTAGATATGAAGACAGGGAATTATTGAGATCTGTGCCTGCATTGTTACATTGGGAGTTAGCAGCCTCAATTATACCGAAAACTGGAGATCGTCCTCGAGGTCTGATTGGTGTGCGTGGCGGCGATTGTCTTTGTTGTCGCAATGGGCTTCTAGATCGACCACGTACTTGACGAACTGGGGAGACCTGTCTCTGAGTCCTGAACCGTCTTTTCATTGATGACGGCGATTTTTGACGGATTGGTGAACGAGATCTACCACGCTTTGCTTGCTCTCGCCCAGGAGATCTGTTTGAATCAATGAGTCTGTCTTGGCGATTCACGACAACTACTCACCTGGATCTACGGCGAGTCATTCTCTCTGCCAAAGGTCTGCCTCTTGCTTCTTCGCGTCGGAAATGATGCTCTACGCAACCTTTGTAGATACAATAATCATCAATGTAAATATTGCAGCTTGGGGAAGCCTTCAATGCGTTAAGAACTTTTGTCCTAGAAGGGAGCAACGTCAAAGATATTCTTAGATGATGAATGTAATTGTCAATTGTGTACTCACCGAAGCGTAACATCAGTGCTCAAGCCATGATAATCACACCATTGACGAGTCCCTGGTAGTGCTTGATCGCGAGGCCATCTTGTGCGACGACGTGGACAATAGCGCTCTATGTGGTTGTAATCATTACAACGCCAGCATTGCCTCGGAGCATCACGGCAGTATCCGTAATGGAAACGGCGACAATTTTGACAGGGCGCCGGCACCTGAAATTGAAACTTGAACATCTTATCTTTTGGCTGATGATCTCCAGACAAATGTTCGATGTTGTGCAGAACGAAAAGTTGAAAGCTGCTCGCGGAAAGTAAGAAAGGAATTATACTCGCGTCTGACAGCAGTGATACTGATCATTTCTGGATGAGCAGATTGTCGTTTACAATAGTTAAATCCAATGACCTGAAGAAATATAGAGGTTATCGACTACTTATGTAGTTGCCAAAGTTAAAGAGTCTATTATACCCAGCAGGTAAACTGAAATTTCTCAATGACAGGGTAAAGTAGGGAAGGGGCAACAACAAGGGAAGGAGCAATCAATGGCAAGACACGTGATTTACCCCCTCGACGTCTGATCCTTAAGCAGTGGCAGTCTAGGAAGCCATTCTAGCACATCCCAATTTTACATTTCCCTACACACTCGTTTGAAGTCCTCTTTCGATGTTCCTAATGGCTAGAAATATCACACGGCATTTTCATTGAGATGAGATTGCGCAATACCCCTTCAGAGTCGTCCTTTGTAGCAGTGCAACTGCTATTATTCGAATCATTCAACGATAAAAGATAGCTCTACTATCTTTGGCCTACATGTTCGCATGTTTGTCGAAAGCTGAAACTTGTTTCTACTCTACAAACTCACTTTCGCTCAAATCGCTTGCTCAGCTGCTGCTGCTACCACGAACATTACAAGATTCACACTTCCTAGTACACCGCAATCGTTGAAACTCTCATATGATCTCAGACGAGTAACAATCTAAAATTCACAGTTTTTCGCCATATAATTACAATATCATATGCTTATCATTTGGGACCAAGTATCTTTATATCGTATCCTGGTTTAACACGGCTTCACTTGAAGTCCCAGACGGCTATTGGTATAGGGGATACATGATGACACCCCTCGATCGGGTTGCAGATTTTAGTTCTGAGTTCAAAATTACTGAAAACTACCAGATGTATTGCTCAAGAGACTTGAAGAAACAGGGCCAGATATTGGGAGATGTTCTACCGAGTGACCAGGGTCTATGTGACCGCAAGACTACACTTGCAGGGGATGATCGTATATTCATCGATCTCACTCGAATCTTTGAACATGATTCTGAGGTTCCAGGAGAGAAACTCCTCGAAGGTTCAATCTCTATAGTACACGGTGCTCAAGGATATCATCGTTCGCCTTTAGCAGACATTACTCATCACATAGTATCAATCAATTTAGTGGTTTTACCAACTTACGAAGATTTGATTGCGTCTTTTCCTCCAGTCTCCCCATTTAAAATCTTTGAAGACCTCTGTGAGGCACAGTTGTGGGAGGCAAGAGGCAAAGACTTGGGAACTACGCTGGACCTTAGCAGTTCTGCAGGTAAATCCATAAGTATTGATGCAATCGATTTGAGTCATGACCCAGAAGACGAAACGAGTAAGAAGTCATCCGTTTTGTCGAAAAGCGTTTGTTCAAGCCCATCGGGAAGCTTCCGAGATCGGTTATTCGCATCTCATAAAATCACCAGTTCTTGCAATGCTAGATCTGCCGCAGCCGTCGTGCATCTAGCTGATAAACCAGACCAAGATTCACCGGGCAACAAGCTGGAATGCCGAGAAAGAAAGCGCATTATTGTTTCTTCGACTCGCAGGCCTCCTCAAGTTAAAAAGTCCATGCAGGTATGGTTAGAATCAATCAATCGTCTGCTCGATCCATTCAGAGAAGACGACGAATGCTGGTTTCACCCCGCGCCACCGCCTCCCCGCATCACTCCCATCGGTACGTGGCGTGCTTGCGGCAATATACAGAAAGCTTTCAGCTGGCAAGATCACAATGGGAAACACAGTCTTGTCTTAAATTTTGGTATAGTCTCCAAAATTCTCTTTCACACAATGACAAAACGACAGAAAGATGGATTTGTCAACAGGAAGTGGCACCTCAGCCATCTTTGTGGGAATTGGACATGTTTGAATCCTAACCATACGACTGTTGAACCCGGCAATGTTAACATTAGCCGAAACAGTTGCTTTTCCCATAGAGGCGGCTGCTCACATGAGCCCAAATGTATGAAGGAAAAGAAAGCCAACTTGAGTGCCAAAGGCATCCCCATTTATCATAATGACGAGATCATGCAAGATGCTGATACCCGTCCTAGTAGTGTAGAAGTTCAGGACTGGGGCATGAAAAGTTTTGATCTTGACCACAATTTGTCTGAGCATGAAATGTTGCTCGTCAATTAATTTCGAAAGAGATTCATAATCTCGGGAATTTACAGGGCGTGGAACTGGCTGCAGGCAAAGAACAAAGACTTGCTTCCAACAAATATATGGTACATCATTCGATACTGCCATCGTATCTACTGTTATATCCGAAACATACATCTTAGCATCTAGGCACTTTCCTATTATTTAAGTTCATTCATTCTCTAGATTATCACAGATCACTATCTAGAATCTCAATCTTTAGTTCTTCATTTTTATTTTTATTACTATTATTTCAATCTATTGAATCAGATGGTGGTATGTAATTATGATTTTAGATTTCATGTTCTTATCTTGTATGTGAATAGCTGCTAGCATCGCCCGTCCTCTGGTCACATATATCGTACCACTTCTGTTTATACATATGACATCTAATTCCAGGGTCTAACTATTTGACAGGCAGTGCATCAATAGCAGAATAACAATCATCCAGAGAAGTTCTGTCTCAACTTGAAGAACCAAACCGTTAAATGTTTTTAGCGTGCCAAGTAAGGCAGATTCGCTAAGAATAAATTCGGCCTATTGAACTTTCTAGAAACCTATGAATCAGATACCTTAGATCAATTGAGTTGCATAACATATCAGACTATACACAAGGAAACTTCTGAATCTAGTAAAGAAGCTATTGAATCGTTTGTATTGTTTATAATCCTTGCTACATACCAACTAAAACATGCTTATAGTAACATGGCTCCTCGCCAAAATTGGATAGCATAATCCAGAAGTTATAAAAGGGCCTAGCATCATCCCTTCCACACTCTTATTTAGATCTTTTGCTCTTTTGTATTCATTCGTCCAGGTGTTCTTCATCTTCTCGGCAGTCTTGGATCATCAATATCACTAATGATGTCGTCAAATTTGCAAGCACAACATATCCTTTCTAAGAAGAGGAGCAGAAGCAAGACGGTATCAAAAGGCAAAGACAAAAGGATCCAGGATTTATACAGATCTTTAGGATTTTACCCTGTTGCTGACTCGGAGTTAAAGAAGAAGATCAATATCTTCGCGAAATCTCTTAACATTACACCATTAAAAGTGATGTCTAAAGAGAATCCGGAGGCGCAAGAATTGGCAAAATTATTTTGCGCAGACAAGGAAACAGTTCAGTTTCTATGGCCAGAGGTTGGAACGGGCAATCATCGCCGACTTAGTTGGGAGAATGATATGATAAAGTGAGCGTCTTGCGATTTCTTCAGTATGGCAACAACGACTAAACGATTTATGGCTAGAATTTTGAAGTTACTTGCCCACATTTTTGCATTGAAGATGCACTACTTTTTCAGGAATCATCGGCGAAAAGTTTGTGCAACCAGTGTAGAATTTCGTTGCTCATCTATTGTATGACTAACGCCTCGACAGGAAGCACCAAAAAATGCTCTGGGCGGTGGACAAGACCTAGATTCTGACGACGAACTCTTGGTCACTCTGGGACATCAAGATCTATCAATACGAGATCAACACCTAAAGGATGGCCAAGAATGTTCAAAAGCTGGAAAAATTTCTAATAATATCGCTGAATCTCCAGCAATGAGATCGAACAGGCGAAACATTGACGAGAGTAAATTGAGAGGACTAAAGTATGTCAAAGGGTGACTCTGCAATCTCCAAGTTGAATCTTGAAGTATCTTTGAGCTAATCGTTGTTGCAAACAAGGAATACCAGCCATCAGGAAAAATGCAGCACTCATATACGGTACATAAAGCCAATAGACGACAAGAAGATGATGGCTGAATTCATCTCGCCACAATGGTTGGAAGATGAGGAATTCACCTGGGTGGCCCAAGGAGGCCTTGAGCCTGATTCATATATTCTCAGGTTTATGCATGGATTCTTGTATTACAATGCAGATCAGAACATGAGTCTGATGAATTTTGTTCGCCTCTTCAAGGACGAGCCAGTAATTGCAAACAAGATACATTTCAAGACATTGAAAGGTCTTCTTCAAACCCGGGTAGGAGAGTTAGCTGATGCATTACTTGTTGAAAGATTATTATTCCGCAATCGCAGTAGCAACGAAATATCACGAACACGGGAATTGGACGCAGCATGGAATCAGAGATTGACCATTTGGAACCAGCCTTCCGAGGAAGTCAGGGACGAACTCGAGTCATCAAGCACACAATGTCGAGATGTTTACGACATGTCTGTGTCTCCAGATCGCGATGAGGTTACAGCCAAATCCCGACAACGCTCGTCAAACCCTAAAGGTCCAATGAATCTATCACGAAAACGAACTTTTCAATCAACATCACTAAGTGGTGATGTGGATGAAGAAATTACCACAACAAAGCGTCGAAGTCTTTCAATATTCAATCGAGATCAATCTCCCATCATGAAGGAAAAAGACAAAGCGGAAGATGGAGGTAAAAGTAACTCGAACGAGATATATCAACATGAAATAGACCTCGTGCAGCGCTATGGCTCATATCAGTTTGGGAGAACTTCCCAATTTCTTGAAGTAAGATATCGATTCATTAGCCTAGTGAACCATTCTAATCGATTTGAACTTCAGGACGATTTGGCACATGCGACGGCAACAAAAACTCCCACCACCATGTGCAATCCTGAGATTAGCAACTTCAAGTTGAATTTGACGGAACCAATCAGTACTACAGCTATAGTAAGTGGAGCTGCAATCAAACCAGATCCAAATCCAGCTTCCAATCCGCGCAGCGGATTCTTGTCATCCCACTCAGCATTTTTCAATTATTTTTTTGTGCAATCTCAACCAGGTTCCACAGAACCTAAGCCCTCTCCGCTATTCACCGCACCACTTCGACCCATAACTTATATGGCAGGCGAGCCAGCATCCGAGGATAATCTTCCACTTGCTACTTTCTCGAACGACATAAACTTCATTTTTCTGTCGAAGCAAAACTTTGATTACGAGAATCCCCTGAAAGTCAACATCAAGAATCTTGAGGATTTTTCGCTATCATCCTTTATTTCACTTTTTGCCCTGAGATCGGGTGTCAATATACATAAAGTTGACAGTTTGAAATTTACAATCTTACTAGGTGATGATCGGCTGGAGACAGTGATGAAGGGAGATGAGAGGAAGTGGGAGAACATAGTAGAGATCATGAGAGATCTGTGGAAGTATAGTAAGATACAATGGCTTAATGGTACGAAGTTGAAGAGCAGGGTCTGTAGGATATTGACTGAGAGGATACACACTCGAGCATTGTGATGCTGACTTGGATGGGAAACGTGTTTTCGTGCAGTCTTTATCAAGAAGAGATTTCTTCATGGAATGAATATGTTTAATAAACTTACATTCTACCATGAGAAGCTCCAGTTCATACGCCAAAATCTACATATAGTATTTTGAAAATCAATAGAGCGATCTGAAAACAGAATTGCAGGACCTCGGAGTCTCAGTTGTTCTTTTCCCCTCTTATTTGTCTGCCTTCCCGGCCATTCATCATGGATTATCGTCATATTGTCCTATCAAGGAAAGAGAAAGCCTAGCAGATTACTTAGGCGTAGAGGAGTATCTTCCAACTCAAACATGTGCGTACTAGCTGAAAGAGTAGAGGAAATCTGGAAGTAGAAGATTGCCATTCTATTCTGATTCGAGGATAGAATCAAAGAAAAAAAGAATCTTGAACACGTGTTAGTCCTGATTGAGGCAACTCATTCTTCCTCTGAGCACCTTGCCAGGCTATTAAGCGGCATTCTAGTGAAGTGATACGTTACATACCAAGCAGTTCACTAGAACTCAGGCCAATTCTGCAGTTTGAGAAAAGCGGCGGTAGTATCGTCTCATAACATTAAATATTCCCTCATTGTCGGTGGCGATTTCCACTGTGTGGGTTCGATCGATTATCTCTGGAATCGAATCTTTCTATTGTAGCTATCACATGTGAAATTTCCTGGGAGTGAACTCTACTCATCTAGGTATACTGCGTGAAGATTAACCATACTTTATCTCAACAGCAGCAGGTCTAACCCGCAACCGTAGAGTCAATGCATAGCCGAAAAAGTTCAAATTATCCTAAGCCAATCTGACCATTAATATCATTATCTTGACAATCCTCAACTGGAAGAATCTTAAAAAATAGGTATGCTCAAGTATTATATGACTGAGTCATGCATCTTGCCAAGTTAGAATGAGATGTTCTCCCCTGTAATCTTCATGAATACCGACATATTGTCAATTCGTATTCGCCTCTTTCCCCTGGCAGACATACGCACACACAATTTCATCCAAACAGATGTAACCTTGCACACACCTCAATCCAATCACTCAAGTTACCAATCTTGGTAGTTTCTTGGATTCGTCTGAAATGTGCATAAAAATCTCTTCCGCTCATAACTATCTGTTTTCTTCGCTCTGCATGTGAAATCCAACAGTTGGTTGGTAAAATGATTATGCGAACCAGGAATCGTGCATATACATATATTAGTCCTGTACGTGTTACACTCCATTTCCGGATGAGGTTGCCTTTACGCGTATTGTTGGTTAGGCAGACGATGGATTTGTCATATATTTCTACGCTGCTCGGCATCAACTGTCATTTTCATGTACGCTAAGATCTTGAAGAGGCGCAGAATATTAAATCACCAACATTTTAATTTATTTGCTAATCCTTCGATGTGACGGCATAACATAATACCGGAGTTCGGCTAGCGGCTATTGACCCCGTTACATCAACGTTTATCCGCTAAAATGCATTTCGGATGCAAGTCTTACCCTTCGGCGTTTTTTCAAAACATCGACCTCGGGATGGCTGCCGGAGGCGCAAAATTGCTGACTTTGGCTTGGATATGACGTACAGTGAGTGTGATTTAGAGGTGATGGGCAAAATTCAAAAAGTGGGAGATTTCATAGGTATGCTCATATCAAACTATCCACACTCAGATATGATTAAGATAACCTTGACAATATCATCATATATCTGACGGTATGCAATCAGTGAAACACTCGTGCTGGAATAGAGAATTCATCCTCACTAAATACTATCTCGTATAATTCA